CTTTCTTCACCTTCCAAGAGTGGTAACTCGGGCGATACTTACCTGATGAAGGAGGACGATGCAGACGCCGGGCCACCTTACCTCCGATCGACCTGACCATTGCTGCGGGTGCCACAGAATTTGGACACAGCCTTCCATAAAGCCACACGAAAGTTCAAACGCCACACCTACCGCGACTTTCACGCTTAAGAAGTTTTCAACTCATAATATGGACCCTTCCTCATAGTACAAGACATCGATGATAATTACAAGATGATCAACGATGTCAAGAATAAGAACTATAAGATTGATGATCGCAAGCTGGTTCAGATAGAAACCATGACGAGACGTATGTTCTTTGGCCTTAATAGATCTAGAACGATCAATGAGACTCTTATCACCATATTTCGCGGACACCTACTTCTGAAGATGATAGGATGATCTACTCGGCCCTACTGATGCAAAAGAAGGACCAGCAGTTCCTAACAGATCATCTCACATCAGTCTCAGCAGCTCTAACCTTAGCTCGTCGTCAAGGCCTCCTCGCTTCCTGCAGCTGGGGTGAGCAGTTTACAGCTCCACTCTATACAGCCCCGTGGTCCTCACCATCCATCTTTGATGGAGGGATAGAGAAAGTCTCCAAGGAAGTCACTAAGGATTCTAGAGAAGTCCTTATGATAAAGTCGATGGACACGCTAGCCAGCCTCATCAGGCAGACTTCACAAAGATATTCAGGGAGATCTAAATTCACTGGATTACAGAGAGCACGGGATAGGAAGATGGCCAGCTCCAGGGGAAAAGATACTTTTCATCGCCCATATGGCAACTACAGAGGAGGATCAGGAAGAGGCAGGGCACCCAGAGGTTCCCGCAACTATAAACGATGAAAAACAGGTTCGGAACGACTGGAGTCTTCCACCCCCAGCCGTTCCAGTACAACCGTCACAAGTGGGTGGATGCCTTCAACTACACTGGGAGAACTGGGGAATGTTACAAGACCCTTATGTCTCCAACATTCTTCAACACGGATATCGTATCCCTCTACAGGCCACGCCTCCGCTGACAGTCAACCCTCACAAGTTCGACTTCCAGGCACAACAACTACCAAAGTTAAGAGAGGCTGTTACATCTCTCAAGCAGGCCATAGAAGTACTAGATCAAGTAAACGTCGAACCAGGCTTCTACTCCCCAGTTTTCCTAGTACCCAAGAAAAACTCCAAGGAGAAATACAGACTCATTTACAACATGAGCATATTCAACAGAGATTATCTACGAAAACCGCCAACGCTTCGCGATGATACATCTACCCTCAATTACGCAGTTAATTCGTCCCCATGGATTACATGGCCAGTATAGATCTGCAAGACGATATCTACACATCCCTATTGATACATCCCGAATCCAGGAAATACCTACGATTTACACTAGACGGGCTGCATTACCAATGGAAAGTAATCCCATTCGAATATCATCGCCCCTGGCTATTCACAAGAATAACGAAAACCTATCGCCATCTATCTACGTCGCCTAGGGCTACGCGAGCGCTCTACCTCGACGACGGGATACAAGTAGATCAAGATCCACAGCGCCTCAAACTACAGTTAAACTACATCATAAAGCTACTAACACAGCTAAGATGGTTAGTAAACTTACTCAAGTCGGACCTAGTACCTCGCGCAAGATCTGCAATTTCTAGGCATTCGATTTATCACTTACTCTCAACCGTGATCGTTGTACCAGAAGACCGATGGCTCAAGATCCAACAGACCATCCCTCTAGCTCCTACTCTCTCCGCTACCACTCACGACAATGGCAGAGCCTGTTGGGTCTCCTCACGCCAGCTCAAGACATGACAGTCAGAGGCAGACTACAGTTACGCCCGCTACAGGTCTTCATCAATGCTCATCTCGACGACCTACAACCATTCAGTCTACCAAACACCTCAGACCTCATCTACTCTGGTGGACCAGGAGGTCGAATGTTCATGGCTGTATTTGTTTAACAGAGCCGAATTCAAAACCCATCTATATGTAGACGCTGTCGCTCCAGGGTTGGGGAGCTCATCTCGCCAACCGGACGGCTTCAGGGTTATGGAATCAGCAAGAAAGCAAGCTCCATATAAACATGTTAGAGATGAAAGCGGTAATCAACGCCATACTTCATTGGAGCACCATTCTACAAAAGGCGCATCTGATGATTCATACCGACAACTCGACAGTGGCGTTTTATGTGAACAAACAAGGTTCAACGAGATCACTGAACGTATTGACTTTATGCTTTCAACTGTTCCATCTACTCGACGATCTCAACTTACATGTCAGAGCATGTCACATTCCCGGAGCCAAGAATGTACTAGCAGACGCACTCTCTCGGCCACATCTACCGTCACCGACAGAATGGATGCTCCATACAGAAATTTTTGCGCAGATTATCAAGCAAATAGGAGCGCCGCTAGTAGATCTATTCGCCACTCGCTTCAACAATCAGCTACCGACATTCGTATCGCCAGTCCCGGACCCACGAGCATGGGCAACGGACGCTTTAAGCATATCCTGGAAGGCCTCACGCGCATTACGCTTCCGCCAGCCATAATCCCTCAAGTGTTACAGAAAATCAGACAAACACAGAGCCTCCAACTCACTTTGGTCGCTGCTCTACTGGCTAGCCAGAACGTGGTTTCCCATTCTAATTCAAGAAATCGGTCAACCAACACTAGAGCTACTAAAGCCCTCGAATCTTTTAGTACATCCACACACCAAACAGGTGCACGGAAACCCAGAAGTATTCCAACTTCACGTATGGACTGTATTAAAATGTGTTTAAACAAGAGAGGATATTCAACCAGAGCGGCAAAAGCAGTCACGCTTGCCTTACGCTATTCTACACGTAACTTGTACGACGACAAGTGGCACAGTTTCGAAAATTACGCAGCAAATAAGGGATTTACAGCGAGAGATGCTACACATCCACAAGTGGCAGATTATTTGTGTTACCTACGCCAAAACAAACATTTAAAAGGCTCGACACTGTCAACATATCTTGCCGCGCTTAGTTCTGTGATAACTATGAGAACGGGTGTCAAGCTAACCAAGCCTTACTACGTGCTTTCCGATTGGAAGATCAGAAACGGAAGTTCCACGCCCCAGCTTGGGATCTGAATATAGTGCTCCAACACCTCACAAGTGAGGCTTATGAACCGTTGGAATCGACAACCTTTGAATTTCTCTCACAGAAAACATTATTCCTGTTATCTCTAGCGACGGCAGCCAGGATGTCAGAAATTCACGCACTAGATTATGAGAGGATACAGTTTGATGACAATCAAAACACAGTTCACTTGGGACTAAGATGGGATTTCATCGCCAAAAATCAATTGCCAGGTCAACCAGACAGATTATTCCATATTCCTGCACTCTCCATGATTCTCGGATCTCAAGATACACTGGACTTATCTCTATGCCCAGTCAGAGCTCTCAAAATCTATTTACGACGTTCCAAAACAAGGAGACGACTTCTCAAACGATTATTCATCCCCTTATCGGCAACAACTCAGACAGAAGTCTCTCGTACCACCATATCTATATGGATAAGAACTGTCATACTTCGCGCCTACAAGGCTGCAGGACTAGACCCTCCAAAAGCATCAAATCCCCATGAGATCAGGGCATTGGCTTCCACACTCGCGCTACATGGTAACTGTTCCTTAAATACCATCATGGAAGGCTGCTTTTGGAAATCCAACATTGCGTTTGCTAATCACTATCTGAGAGATATCACCACCGAGGACGTCTCAGGTATTCACCATTTTGGTCCCATGGTCCTCGCACAGCAGTTGACAGTCCCTCGTAGACGTTAACACATAGTCTTACGAGATTATTATGTATATTTCATACCAGTATTATCTAGCTTATAACTCTACGGAGTTTTAGGGCTATTTATATGCTTAGCTTAAGTCTACTCAGCCTTAAGCTTGTACTGATGATTATGTTCAGTTGGGTAGCTTCTCCATATGGGAGTCGCTTTGATATCTTTATTGCTATTATCATAGTATATTAATTTTGTAATACCCCATCTATGGCAGTGTATAAACTTATGGTTTATAGTACCAGGAATTATCCTAAGTCAGTGCCATTATGAAGTTCCCGTTAGGGGGTTATTACAGTTATATATATATAAATCACTAATTAATTTTATAAATCCAAAGTATTCTGTTCTTTCCCACCTCCGCCTCAGAGGGATTCTACAAGGAAAGAGCATGAGTCAGGATAAGGAAAAATATGTAATTTTTTGAGTAAAATTGATATTTTATACTTATCCTGACTCATGAGGTAAGCCCTCCCATCCTCCCCACATAACACTTTGGATTTCCCTGTAAATTCAAGTGTTGGGCTCGCTATATCAGGAGAGAGTGAAGCATGAGGCCAGAAGGTGGCGCCGCCTTTCACGCGCAGGGGCAAAGGGAGGCAACTCTTGGTGAGTACTAATTAGTGATTTTACATTGAAGGGAGCTTCAATTAAGGAGATACAAGTGTTCCACTATGTTCTCAAGAAGAAGAAGACAAGCAAAAGAGCATGAGTCAGGATAAGTATAAAATATCAATTTTACTCAAAAAATTACATACTTCCAGTAAGATATTGGTATCCCTATTCTCCTCTCATCCATGGGGCCCTCCTTCCACATGTGCGAGATGTATGAGAAGAGGTTTATTAAGAGTTTCTTTTGAAAAAATTATGAGGGCTTGGGGAGAACAATGCTGTGACGACACGGCTAGGGGAGATAACTGTGTCACTCTTTAGGCATACCACTAAGGATAATTATAGTTGTTTTTTTTAAGAGAACTTTTTTCTCTTTCATTTCTGTATGTCACTGTGATACCACAGGAAACTGGCAACCATAATCCAGAGGTAAGTTTACTAACAGTTTCTAACAATACCTGTAATTGTTCCTACTCTTGCTAGGAATGGCTGAAAGTCAAGAGAGTTGTTAGATTAAGACATAAGAATGCCTTTTTGGTTTGCAGATGCATGAAGTCTTTGAACTGCTGCCCTTTGACAACCCTGATGGTGGAGTGTGGAAGCAGGGCTGGGACATCAGCTATGATGTCAATCAGTGGTCACCTTCCAACCAGTTGCAGGTGTTTGTGGTGCCCCACTCACACTGTGACCCAGGTACATGTCTTCCTGTACACCATACAGGTGCCCCCATACACAACAACATACACCTCACTCACACTGTGACCCAGGTACATGTCTTCCTGTACACCATACAGGTGCCCCCATACACAACAACATACACCCCACTCACACTGTGACCCAGGTACATGTCTTCCTGTACACCATACAGGTGCCCCCATACACAACAACATACACCTCACTCACACTGTGACCCAGGTACATGTCTTCCTGTACACCATACAGGTGCCCCCATACACAACAACATACACCCCACTCACACTGTGACCCAGGTACATGTCTTCCTGTACACCATACAGGTGCCCCCATATACACAACAACATACACCCCACTCACACTGTGACCCAGGTACATGTCTTCCTGTACACCATACAGGTGCCCCCATACACAACAACAACATACACCCCACTCACACTGTGACCCAGGTACATGTCTTCCTGTACACCATACAGGTGCCCCCATACACAACAACATACACCCCACTCACACTGTGACCCAGGTACATGTCTTCCTGTACACCAAACAGGTGCCCCCATACACAACAACATACACCCCACTCACACTGTGACCCAGGTTTCATGTCTTCCTGTACACCATACAGGTGCCCCCATACACAACAACATACACCTCACTCACACTGTGACCCAGGTACATGTCTTCCTGTACACCATACAGGTGCCCCCATACACAACAACATACACCCCACTCACACTGTGACCCAGGTACATGTCTTCCTGTACACCAAACAGGTGCCCCCATACACAACAACATACACCCCACTCACACTGTGACCCAGGTACATGTCTTCCTGTACACCATACATGTGCCCCCATACACAACAACATACACCTCACTCACACTGTGACCCAGGTACATGTCTTCCTGTACACGATACATGTGCCCCCATATACACAACAACATACACCTCACTCACACTGTGACCCAGGTACATGTCTTCCTGTACACCATACAGGTGCCCCCATACACAACAACACATACACCCCACTCACACTGTGACCCAGGTACATGTCTTCCTGTACACCATACAGGTGCCCCCATACACAACAACATACACCCCACTCACACTGTGACCCAGGTACATGTCTTCATGTACACCATACAGGTGCCCCCATACACAACAACATACACCCCACTCACACTGTGACCCAGGTACATGTCTTCCTGTACACCAAACAGGTGCCCCCATACACAACAACATACACCCCACTCACACTGTGACCCAGGTACATGTCTTCCTGTACACCATACATGTGCCCCCATACACAACAACATACACCTCACTCACACTGTGACCCAGGTACATGTCTTCCTGTACACCATACAGGTGCCCCCATACACAACAACATACACCCCACTCACACTGTGACCCAGGTACATGTCTTCCTGTACACCATACATGTGCCCCCATACACAACAACATACACACCCCACTCACACTGTGACCCAGGTACATGTCTTCCTGTACACCAAACAGGTGCCCCCATACACAACAACATACACCCCACTCACACTGTGACCCAGGTACATGTCTTCCTGTACACCAAACAGGTGCCCCCATACACAACAACATACACCCCACTCACACTGTGACCCAGGTACATGTCTTCCTGTACACCATACAGGTGCCCCCCATACACAACAACATACACCCCACTCACACTGTGACCCAGGTACATGTCTTCCTGTACACCATACAGGTGCCCCCCATACACAACAACATACACCCCACTCACACTGTGACCCAGGTACATGTCTTCCTGTACACCATACAGGTGCCCCCATACACAACAACATACACCCCACTCACACTGTGACCCAGGTACATGTCTTCCTGTACACCATACAGGTGCCCCCCATACACAACAACATACACCCACTCACACTGTGACCCAGGTACATGTCTTCCTGTACACCAAACAGGTGCCCCCCATACACAACAACATACACCCCACTCACACTGTGACCCAGGTACATGTCTTCCTGTACACCATACAGGTGCCCCCATACACAACAACATACACCCCACTCACACTGTGACCCAGGTACATGTCTTCCTGTACACCATACAGGTGCCCCATCCCCATACACAACAACATACACCCCACTCACACTGTGACCCAGGTACATGTCTTCCTGTACACCATACAGGTGCCCCCATACACAACAACATACACCCCACTCACACTGTGACCCAGGTACATGTCTTCCTGTACACCATACAGGTGCCCCCCATACACAACAACATACACCCCACTCACACTGTGACCCAGGTACATGTCTTCCTGTACACCATACAGGTGCCCCCATACACAACAACATACACCCCACTCACACTGTGACCCAGGTACATGTCTTCCTGTACACCATACAGGTGCCCCCATACACAACAACATACACCCCACTCACACTGTGACCCAGGTACATGTCTTCCTGCACACCAAACAGGTGACCCTGTGATCATGAATCTTTCTGCTGCTTAACCTGGTTAGATGTACCATTTATGATAAGGCACAGGTTATGTATGTTTACAAACTAAAAAAGTTGGAAGAATGATTTTGGGTAATGAATAGAATCTCACACAACTCACGACTCACTTGGCAAACCCCAGAGTCTATTCATTAATGGCCCCCTGTTGTATTTGATATGAAAAGGCTCTGATTCCATGTATCATACCTGGTATTAATTTAATTCAATGGATTGTTTGTGAGGAGCAGTCTGAAAAACCACAGGTCTCTAAACATTTGACCCGTGAAGGTCCGGGTTAGAATATTGGTCTTCAGTAACCCATGCTTGTCGTAAAAGGCGACTAACGGGATCGGGTGGTCAGGCTCGCTGGCTTGGTTGACACATGTCATTGTATCCCAATTGTGCAGATCATGCTCATGCTGTTGATCACTGGATTGTCTGGTCCAGACTCGATTATTTACAGACCACCGCCATATAGCTGGAATATTGCTGAGTGCAGCGTAAAACTAAACTCACTCGCTCACTGTAAATGGATTTCCTCTATGACTTCAAACAACGACAGAGGTCACACAGGTGTAAAGATAAGGGGGCACAACTCTGCTATGGATAACACAAGGTCATTTTAACTCATGTCACTTCGAGAGAATTTGCTGTGGATACGGACACTATATTTTCGTGATGCCCTGTTCATGGTGAACCAAACTATTCGAAAACAAAGATCCAAACTGTAACCAGATACGTTTTGGTAGAATATCAACATTTATCAAGAAAAATCATTGAGGACAAAGGGTAGATACTGACAACACAGGTGTTTTAGTCCAATGTGTTTGTGATAACCTTGACAGATGAAATTCCTTTCAATTTGTAGGTATGTCATATGTCCACAAGTTGAGTAGTTTGTCAGGTCAGATCACAATTTTCTTTTGTCTGTCCATCTGCTACTTCAAGCACTAACAGATGTGTTAACTGTGTACGCCAGGGTGGATCAAGACTTTTGATGACTACTACCGATCTCAGACCAAGCCAATCTTGGACAACATGGTCCCAAAGCTGGAGGAGGACAAGAACCACAAGTTCATGTACGCTGAGATGTCCTTCTTCTCCCACTGGTGGGATGAGATTGATGACGGCATCAAGAAGAGAGTCAAGGCGTAAGTACACACATGACAAGACTTTGCTAATTGAGGCGTAAACATTCCCTCTGGATTATGGTTGCCTTATTCTGTGGTTTCCACAGACACATACAGAATGAAGTGAAAATTTTTTAACACTAAGTCATAGCTATCCCTTGTGGTATGCCCTTCCAACTGACAGAGTTACCTCCCCTGACCTAGATGTCACTGTATAGTAGTTTGAAAATCCTCACAAATTTTCTGTATGGTATACACTGTACACGTGTATAGAGTGGAGTGAAAATTGACTTCTATCAGCTTGTTTTCAACACTGATCCATCCCTATATAGGTTAGTGTTGTCGACATTTATAGTCCTTTGGACATCATATTTTATATTATTTTACGTTTGTACTTGATATATATTTTCCCGCCCTTTTTCCTTTGTCTAACTTAAGCTATGGCTAAGAATAAGTGCGTGCAATGTCAGAAGTTTATGTCGGATTAGACCCCCATTCTCTCTGCATTTCTTGTTTTACTGGTAATCGTTGTACCTTGCAAGATCGCTGCCTTCTGTGTTCAGAATTATCAGAGGTTGAGTGGTTAAGTATGGATTCGGCAAGGTCTCAGACTAAGAAAAGTAAGAGCTCCCCGTCGTCGGAGGCTAGCAAAAGTAAAATCCGCTTCGGGGGTCCCCGCCATCTTCACAGAATCCAAATCTAGATGTAGATCTAAATCGGATGCATCTCATTGGGACATTTCTGCTATCTCGGATTTATTTGCGTCGTTTAAATCAGAGTTGCAAGCCTCAGTTAGTCAGTCCATGTATGATATGGAAATGAGGAATGAGACCAAGATGAATGCATTACAAAAACTGTTTCATGATGGCATTATGTACGGCAAGACGACCGGTGATCGCACTGACTGGGTTGACGATGGCAAGAGCCGGGGGCAAGAGTCAGTTTCTGTGAAACTCGGGGGTGCTCTACCTGGGAAAGCCGGTATCACCTTACGACCGATCAGAAGGCCGTTCCCCACAGGGGAGAAGCCAGGGGCTTCATGTGACAGGGACGGGGTCAACCTGGCTGACCCCAGGCAGGCTTTAATTGCGCCCAGGCAAAACAAGCCGCGTGTCCCTTGTCCCTGGGAGTAAGGCGGTCACGCTTGATCCCAGTCACTCAAAACCTGCTACCTTATCCCACGCGGGGAATGTGCTGCAGTCTTATCCCAGCGGGACTGACTCCATGCCGTCGGCTTGCGTCTCCCACCTTGGGTTTAATCAACGAGCCACGGCTGCCACGGGGGTTAGCGGTATCCAGGACCAGCAGTCCAGTAGCCACGTGCCAAGCGGGTTTTCCACGGGAGCCATGGATAATTTTGACACTGATAAGCCACCGATTTTACCGCTTGTACCGGACCTCTTGGATTCGGAAGCTACTTCTATTTATTCTCTCTCTCAACCAGAATTCGTTATGAAGGAGGGATTATTGACAGTCCAGCCTATGGATACTTCGGCAGAAGATTTTGTTCCTGGAAGGTCTCTTAGGGAAAAGGTTGTATTAATCCATGGACTTTATCCTAGCACGGTCCCGCCACAGCCTGAGGAGCCGGAACGGGAGTTACCAGTGGAGCTGGGATCGTCAGGATGTCTGCCGCCGGAAAGGGTTCCAAAGCTATATCTTCCTCATTCATCGGCACTTAAGTCGGCGTTGGATTCTTACAATTTGAACCTCTCCAAGGCGACTTCACTTAATGCATTACCCAAGATTATTCAAAAGAGGCCCACTCGTATAGGATCGTCCCAGTCAACCGTACCGGCTACGGGAGACACGGGCTTCACGGCTGTCCACCAGCTGCCGTCTCCCGTGGCCACGGGTAGTCCGGCGGATCGGTGGCATGGCATGGCATAACGGGATATATCTCGGCTCAGGTTGCTTATACCCATGGCACAAGCCGCACGGGGTCCTGCCGTCAGTCCCGGGGGTTCAACCGCTGCGTTTGACCCTACTATTAGTAAGTCCGCTTGGCAGGCAATCGTTTATTTCCGCATGGTGCGGTCGGAGTCGCAGGCCGAACGTGACCGGGTGCCATCCACGGAATCGTCGGCCATAGTAACTCGTATGACGCCGGCAAGAGCCATAGTTTAGGCAGCTGAGGTACTCTTTAGTTTATACGTGGGAAGTCGAATATCAACCACAGAGTGAGCTAGTTAAGTTTTCCGTTTCACCCGGCAATATTCCATCTTTTGGCGGCGGTCTGTAATTATTCGAGTCTGGACCAGACAATCAAGTGTTCTACAACATGAGCATCGATCTACACAATTGGGATACGATGACTTATTGTGCTAACCAAGTCAGCGAGCCTGACCACCTGTTTCTATTAGTCGCCCTTTATGTTAAGTAGAGGGACCTCCCCAGACATCTCTTCCCCATTCAAGCGATCCTTCGTAGCCTAGTGGATAAACCGCCATGTTAGAGAGCAAATGGTTGCAGGTTCGAAACCAGTTATCACTATATGTTGGAAGTTTTCAATAATGTGATATTTTATCACTTGTGAAACGGCATTTGAAATTCTCACTTCTCAAGTACACACATGACAAGACTTTGCTGTTCCCACTTTTCACCAGTCATAGAGTCAAGGCCTCAGTAGGGGCGGTGGGGTAGCCTAGTGGTTAAAGCACTCACTCACTCACTCACTCACTCAAGTCCTCAGTACGCTGAGGCTCCATCAACAACAGAGTGAAGACATAAGATTGTCAGGTTCCATCAACAACTGAGTGAAGACATAAGATTGTCAGGTTCCATCAACAACTGAGTGAAGACATATTTTTGTTTTCACTTGTCAATATATGTATTGCGATTTTGCAGTAATTAGTACTGAAATGAAATAAGAACAGATAAGACTGATGCAAGCCTTCTTTACATATTGTTTTGTACAAAGACAGTTTTCCATTCATGTCAAGTGGTGTGTGAGAAACAGAGTGGGTTCCGCATCATGTTTTGTCCAACAGAATAGTAAAAATCACCTAAAACTGGCTGAGTATAGACAGTGACGTCCTATCATCCTATCTACTGTTATCTTCAGAGCACAAAGCAGCATGACTAACCTGGTATCAAACTTGACGTGCCTAGAATTTGAGGTCATGGAGAAGGAAGCGTCCATTGGTCATACTGAAGTCACATTCTTTTGTTCATAACTGATGACTGATCTCTTGCTTGGCGCCTCAGAAACTGTTTATGCACAACAAAATATCATTGAGCTAGTACAGTTTGGCGTGGGGTTAATTACTATTGTAATAGGCATGGTTCTCAATAAACTCAGTTGCCCAGTGACAGCTGAGTTAAGCTAAGTAGTATGTAGGTACGTGATGTTGAATCAACCTTCTTCGGACTTTGCGTTGTGTACTTTTATTTTATAGGTGTGCGTTCGGGTTGACGTGTTCTCTACTCAAAACTCAGTGACCAGTTCGTGAATCGGGCATAAAGCCTATTTGGAAATAGCAGAGACAAATTGAATAGTTTATTACAAAGAAATGGGTGGAAAAAATGCAAACGAAAACTCAACAACTTGTAAATGCCACCCACAATTCTCCCTCTCATATACCTCTTTAACAATCCATTGGGTACATGAATCCCTTAAACTTGTCTTATAAAACCACCCAAGCCAACCCTGTTTTTAGCCAAACATTACCCAAAAAATAAAACCTCAATGCTTCTCCGTCTCCTACTGCTAATATTTCCCCAACCCGGCCTAAGGCCACCCTTTTTTTTAACTTGGATTACGGACCCGCCGACCCTAAATTTCAGAAAATTGAGAAAAAAATAATGGAAATAGCCTATTTTCTTCCCACCGAATGGAAAAATATTTTTCTTATTTTTCTGCAAACACTACTTGGGAGAAAAAATGGAATAAACAATGTCATATTTGTTTGCAATTTTAACCCCGTTTAGGAAATATTCACTGAAATGGTATTTGCAGTCCTTCTCGTAGGTGTCGTGAGCGCCGCTGTCTACAGCGCCCTCTAAGCATCATCTGCAAATGGCAGGTACGAAATACAATGGGAATCTGACAGGTTTTGATTTTGATACACGTTTAACCTTGATGACACGCAGGCATACATGCTTCTATCCTTTTTTTTTCTTGGGAGCAAAATAGAATTTCAAGGAGCATGGAAAATTATAGGGAGCACTGCATGATTCGTTTGAAAGTTCTGAACATCAATGATACACTGCAACATTGCCTGGAGTATTTTCGCAGTTGTAAGAAGCGATTTTATAGGATAGATATTACTTCTAATGACGCTTTTTCGTCACAGTCTGCTATAAGGATCATGACTGGTCAAAATCATGCATGTTACCGTTACATATTACAGCAATGGATACCGTCCTCGTAAACGAAAACTTAAGATTTTGACAGATGTTTTGGGTAAAATCATGCTATTCTAAATGTTTTAAGCAAACAATCACCACCTTTATGTAAATTATGGAACTTAGAGGACGTATCGTCCTAAGTTATGACCTGTGACAATGATGCTTCATGCAAATATTTTAGCATTAAACATATTAAGCGTGAAGTCCGATGCCCTGAAAGCACTTGACTTACATTACATGATCGCCCAAAAACAGATGGAAATAGTAATTTATAATGTACGTTTTGACAACTTTTATTAAGTACATTTGTTGATTTTATAAACATTTTGCTTATTAGTGTGTTGTTGTTTTTTTCCACCGCCTACTATATATTTTGATATGTCAAGTCGAAGCACCCCCCCAGAAAAGTGAAGTGACTCTGCATTTCAGTTGAAAATTTCCGTAATCCAAGTTGTTTAAAAAGGGTGGCCTAACACTACTATAAGAAACCTAACATCCCTTTATAACGCCTGGGAGGGAAGGATCCTGTAACAGAACCTCAGGACATCGATACTACTAGGAGATATTATCTGATGTTGCTCGGATGACCGAAAGCTAGACACTGAATCCAGAAAGCCAGGTCACTTATATAGCGCTCTAGAACGACCTTTGACATGGGTCAGAGTTCATCTACTGATGGCGGACGTCTCCACCAATCAGTGCCTATCCAACATATTTAGCGCCAACCTTGTGGCCTACCCAATGTATCTAGCACTACGATGAAAAGTAACTCCTGACAAAAAGTTGTCCCGTAGGGCAAGTGAAACAGTGTGCTTCACAGTTATTCTATAAATGGTAAGTATTGCCTAAATATCCCTTTATAAACCCCACTGCCCCCTACTTACACTACAATTCAACCCAGTTTTCCTACACTATAAACATGACCTTGTGATGATCAGACAAAATCTGAATGGGCAAACTGTTCATCACTCCCAGCCTTGACAGGGATTTGTATTCTTCACTTATTACACTTTCAATGACCATCCTGAGGACAAAGCCAGTCGTCATGGATACCAATGCTCGACCACATCGTACAGGTGCAGTTAGTGATTTCTTACATCACGAGGTGGAAGCATCTCTACCTTGCTCCGATAGGATTCCTGATCTAAATCCCATAGAGCATGTTTAGGACATTAGGGGTTGCAGAATTTGCCAGAGAGAACCTAAATTACAAATTCTTCATGTACTGGAACAAACCTCCATCAAGATTTAAAAGCAATACCATCATGTCAGAATCAATTTGGGTTATATTTTAGATCAGCACAAGTCTGCATTAACATTTTTAGACTGTTCACATGCTGGGGTTATTGATACTTGTGTGATTTCTTGAGGATTGTAGGCCAGAATCTTGAAAATGACCGCAATGGTTACCATCATACGACCACAGTTATCAGCACTACAAAATGAGTCAGTTTTTATCCCCTGCAACGCGTTTTGCGGGGGGTATTAAGATGGACTCCGTCCGTGCGTTCGTCTGTCCGTCCGTCCATGCACATTTGTCTTTTCCGGAGCAGAGCTCTAAAACCATTCAATATTTCTTCACCAAACTTGACACATAGATTGGTCTGGTGGTGTACTGGTGCCTTTTGGTAGTTTTTGAATTTTGAATAAAACATTTTTGGCGTTTCCATGGCAACAAGTTCGACTTAGCCTGAAATTGGTGGTAGTACACTTTTCCGGAGCTGAACTCTAAAACCGTTCACTATTTCTTCACCAAACCTGGCACATAGATAGATCTGGTGGTGTACTGGTGCCTTTCGGTAGTTTTGGATTTCTGAATAAAATATTTTTGGCATTTCCATGGCAACAAGTTTGACATAGACTGAAATTGGTGATAGTGCTCCTTTCTGGAGCAGAACTTTAAAAACCTTTCAATACTCTCCTACCACTTTTCTATATACACACCTAAATATTTGACATAATCATAACTCGTAGACATAATCATGAAGAGTATTTTGCCATTGCGGGGGATATTGATGACTTTGTCTTCTTGTTCACCATGTTTGCTGCTCTGATTATTCTACAGATTTTCATACCTTTTGCATTTAGATTTGCCATTTAATTTTTCGTTGAGAGTCAATTTATATAGATAGAAAGTTAAATTCAGGTTCAGAAAAATTCCTTTGCTCTGTATCATGGCAAGCTATGATACTATGAAAAATATGGGTCGTGAGAGTATGTAACCATGCTGACAACATGTTTAGGAAGCTACATTCACAGAACTGGTTGTAATAACTTTGGGCATCAGAGATAATATAGAGAATTATTGGTGTCTTCTGCTGCTAGCTGTTTTCTAAAGTCAGCATATGTTGTGATGGGAAAGTTTTCAGACATTAAGGAAATGCTGGGGTGGTGATGCTTTTAGTTTTGACTGTAATGCACATTTCTGCTTAGATACTGACAAAAAATGTTGTTGTTTTCCCATTAATTGTTAGTTTTTGATTGTATGAATGTTTATTTCAGCCTCATTGACAATGGTCAGCTGGAGATTGTGACGGGAGGGTGGGTGATGACGGATGAAGCCAACGCCCACTATTTCGCCATGATAGACCAACTGCTTGAGGGTCATCAGTGGCTGGCTGGAACACTAGGTCTGTTATAACCTGCTTCTAATAAAAACACTTCACTGATGCAGCTTAACTTCACATGCTTGTCTGCACCAGTGACGATGTCATGGTAATGGATGGTTGTATTTATTGTGGGAGGTTTATGGATGCTTGAATATGTAATGACTGCCAGCATGGCAGGAATATGTCTACTGCTGATGTTGATAAGTTATGTGATTATGGTAGAATCCCACATTTATGTGACCACAGTTGGTATGACCACACTGCTTCAGTGTTATGTTATCGTGTTACACTTGTACACGACTCCTTAACATTGGACACCATTGTTAGTTTTGAAATGTGTGGTGACAGTGTGTGTATTGCAGGTGTGAAGCCCCAGTCAGGCTGGGCAATAGATCCGTTTGGGTACTCCTCAACCATGGCCTACATACTGAAGCGCACAGGCCTGAAGAGCATGCTCATACAGCGGGTGCACTACTCCATCAAGAAACACTTGGCACAGAAGAAGGCAATGGAGTTCATGTGGAGGCAGCAGTGGGGTACGTAGCATGGGCAGCAAGGGAACAGCAGTCTCACTGTAAAGTGGGGAGCAGTGTCACAGTATATTGGGGAACAGCAGTGTCACAGTAAAGTGGGGAGCAGTGTCAGAGTGAAGTGGGGAACAGCAGTGTCAGTAAAGTGGGGAACAGCAGTGTCACAGTAAAGTGGGGAGCAGTGTCACAGTACAGGGCTCGATTTAAGAGATGTTAACCCACTTGCACCAGGTGCAACCTAAGATAAAATCCGAGTTATACCAGTCAAATTGCAGTTGCACTGTTTTTATTGCAATATGTAATATCAGAAATATGCTATTGAATTATTTAGATGGTTTTGTTTCAGAAGTTTACCAACTCAAGACAAATAACTAGGTTGCACTTTGTAATATTGGGTTGCACCAGTGCAAGTAACAAAGCACTAAATAGAGCCCAGCAGTAAAGTGGAGAACAGTGTCACAGTAAAGTGGGGAACAGCAGTGTCACAGTAAAGTGGGAAGCAGTGTCACAGTAAAGTGGAACAGCAGTGCCACAGTAAAGTGGGGAGCAGTGTCACAGTAAAGTAGGTAGCAGTGTCACAGTAAAGTGGGGAACAGCAGTGTCACAGTAAAGTAGGTAGCAGTGTCACAGTAAAGTGGGGAACAGCAGTGTCACAGTAAAGTGGGGAGCAGTGTCACAGTAAAGTAGGGAACAGCAGTGCCACATTAAAATTGGGAGCAGTGTCAAAGTAAAGTGGGCAGCAGTGTCACAGTAAAGTGGGGAGCACTGTCACAGTAAAGTGGGGAACAGCAGTGTCACAGTAAAGTGATGAGCAGTGTCACAGTAAAGTGGGGAACAGTGTCACAGTAAAGTGGGTAGCAGTGTCACAGTAAAGTGGGGAACAGCAGTGTCACAGTAAAGTGGTCAGCAGTGTCACAGTAAAGTAGGTAACAGTGTCACAGTAAAGTGGGGAACAGCACTGTCACAGTAAAGTGGATAGCAGTGTCACAGTAAGTGGGGAGCACTGTCACAGTAAAGTGGGGAGCAGTGTCACAGTAAAGTGGGGAACAGCAGTGTCACAGTAAAGTAGGTAGCAGTGTCACAGTAAAGTGGGTAGCAGTGTCACAGTAAAGTGGATAGCAGTGTCACAGTAAGTGGGGAGCACTGTCACAGTAAAGTGGGCAGCACTGTCACAGTAAAGTGGGGAACAGCAGTGTCACAGTAAAGTAGGTAGCAGTGTCACAGTAAAGTGGGTAGCAGTGTCACAGTAAAGTGGGGAACAGCGGTGTCACAGTAAAGTGGATAGCAGTGTCACAGTAAGTGGGGAGCACTGTCACAGTAAAGTGGGGAGCACTGTCACAGTAAAGTGGGGAGCAGTGTCACAGTAAAGTGGGGAACAGCAGTGTCACAGTAAAGTAGGTAGCAGTGTCACAGTAAAGTGGGTAGCAGTGTCACAGTAAAGTGGGGAACAGCAGTGTCACAGTAAAGTGGGGAGCAGTTTCACAGTAAATTGGGTAGCAGTGTCACTGTAAAGTGGGCAGCATTGTCACTGTGGATCCAGTAAATGTTTCGTCAGATGATGATCGAGGCACTGATATGTTCTGTAACTGACTGTAGAATGTTTTGTCAGATGACGAGGGAGGCACTGATATGTTCTGTCATATGATGCCGTTCTACTCCTATGACGTCCCCCACACATGTGGCCCTGACCCAAAGATCTGCTGCACGTTCGACTTCCGCCGACTGCCTGGATCCAAGTACAAGTGCCCCTGGAAGCTAAACCCTGTGTCAGTCAATGATGGCAATGTGGCAGAGAGGTACGCATGGCCAGTACAGGGGCTCACTGTGGTAGAGATGCACAATGTAAATATAAGATCTCAGAGAGATGTACAATGTTAATATAGGGGCTCACTGTGGTTGAGATACACAATGTAAATATAAGATCTCAGAGAGATGTACAATGTTAATATAGGAGTTCACTGTGGTTGAGATACACAATGTAAATATAAGATCTCAGAGAGATGTACAATGTTAATATAGGAGCTCACTGTGGTAGAGATACACAGTGTAAATATAAGATCTCAGAGAGATGTACAATGTTAATATAGGGGCTCACTGTGGTTGAGATACACAATGTAAATATAAGATCTCAGAGAGATGTACAATGTTAATATAGGAGCTCAGTGTGGTTGAGATACACAATGTAAATATAAGATCTCAGAGAGATGTACAATGTTGATATAGGGGCTCACTGTGGTTGAGATACACAATGTAAATATAAGATCTGAGAGAGATGTAAATGTTAATATAGGATCAGTGTGGTTGAGAAATATAAGATCTAGATGTACAATGTTAATATAGGAGCTCAGTGTGGTTGAGATACACAATGTAAATATAAGATCTCAGAGAGATGTACAATGTTGATATAGGGGCTCACTGTGGTTGAGATACACAATGTAAATATAAGATCTCAGAGAGATGTACAATGTTGATATAGGGGCTCACTGTGGTTGAGATACACAATGTAAATATAAGATCTCAGAGAGATGTACAATGTTAATATAGGAGCTCACTGTGGTTGAGATACACAATGTAAATATAAGATCTCAGAGAGATGTACAATGTTGATATAGGGGCTCACTGTGGTTGAGATACACAATGTAAATATAAGATCTCAGAGAGATGTACAATGTTGATATAGGGGCTCACTGTGGTTGAGATACACAATGTAAATATAAGATCTCAGAGAGATGTTCAATGTTAATATAGGGGCTCACTCTGGTAGAGATACACAATGTAAATATAAGATCTCAGAGAGATGTACAATGTTAATGTAGGGCTCACTGTGGTTGAGATACACAATGTAAATAAAAGATCTCAGAGAGATGTACAATGTTGATATAGGGGCTCACTGTGGTTGAGATACACAATGTAAATATAAGATCTCAGAGAGATGTACAATGTTAATATAGGAGCTCAGTGTGGTTGAGATACACAATGTAAATATAAGATCTCAGAGAGATGTACAATGTTAATATAGGGGCTCACTGTGGTTGAGATACACAATGTAAATAAAAGATCTCAGAGAGATGTACAATGTTAATGTAGGGCTCACTGTGGTTGAGATACACAATGTAAATAAAAGATCTCAGAGAGATGTACAATGTTGATATAGGGGCTCACTGTGGTTGAGATACACAATGTAAATATAAGATCTCAGAGAGATGTACAATGTTAATATAGGAGCTCAGTGTGGTTGAGATACACAATGTAAATATAAGATCTCAGAGAGATGTACAATGTTAATATAGGGGCTCACTGTGGTAGAGATACACAATGTAAATAAAAGATCTCAGAGAGATGTACAATGTTAATATAGGGGCTCACTCTGGTAGAGATACACAATGTAAATATAAGATCTCAGAGAGATGTACAATGTTAATATAGGGGCTCACTGTGGTAGAGATACACAATGTAAATATAAGATCTGAGAGAGATGTACAATGTTAATATAGGGGCTCACTGTGGTTGAGATACACAATGTAAATATAAGATCTGAGAGAGATGTACAATGTTAATATAGGGGCTCACTGTGGTTGAGATACACAATGTAAATATAAGATCTCAGAGAGATGTACAATGTTAATTTAGGGCTCACTGTGGTTGAGATACACAATGTAAATATAAGATCTCAGAGAGATGTACAATGTTAATACAGGGGCTCACTGTGGTTGAGATACACAATGTAAATATAAGATCTGAGAGAGATGTACAGTGTTGATAGAGGGGCTCACTGTGGTAGAGATACATAATGTAAATATAAGATCTCAGAGAGATGTACAATGTTGATATAGGGCTCACTGTGGTTGAGATACACTATGTAAATATAAGATCTCAGAGAGATGTACAATGTTAAGTGTGGTACAGCTTGTTCAGCTTGACCTGAGCTACTCTACATATGCATGACCCAGGAGGTCAAATGGCACAAACAGCAGGTCGAGTTAACCTCATTAAATAGGGGAGCAGAGAATGTTAAACGGCGACCTTGTATCGGCTCTTTGGACATGTTGACAATCAACTGACAGAGGAGCACCCCTTCGCAATAATAGAACCAACCAGTTGTGACACGGTCACGCAAGGCATTAGTATTCACTTGATCAGGTCAAGCTGAACAAGCTGTAGTGTGGTATATATTGTCAATATAGGGGCTTAATGTGAGAGAGAGAGGAAGATTCAAGAGGGTGCTTCAATGTATAGGTAGTCAATTTATGTATACTGGTGTGCCATCAGAATGGTTTGATTATGGGTTTGAATACCGGTTGCGGTACAGAAAGTGGTGTGTGTTGCAGGTCCTTGACCTTGTTGGACCAGTATCGGAAGAAGGCCCAGCTGTACAACACAAATGTGCTGCTCATCCCCCTGGGAGATGACTTCCGCTATGACCAGGCCGATGAATGGGACAAGCAGTACTCCAATTACCAAAAAATATTCAACTATGTCAACTCCCATTCAGAACTCAACACTAAGGTATTCACTGATGTACCGTGCTGTTTGATTGACCAGGTTAGAATTGGTCTTCAGCAACCCATGCTTGTCATAAGAGGCGACTATCAGGATCGGGTGGTCAGGCCTGCTGACTTGGATGGCATATGGCATTGTATCTCAGTTGTGTAGATCAATGCTCATGATGTTGATCACTGGATTGTCTGGTTCAGATTCAATTATTTACAGACCGCCACCACATAGGTGGTATATTGCTGAGAACAGCATTTAACAACCAACAATCATCAATGATTGACCAGTGGTCAAATCGGGAATAGAATGTGTATGGGATTTACATCAGATTGATATCTTCCGCCCAGACTACCCGATACATTGTCTCATTTCACACACTCATGTTCCGACAGATGCAGTTTGGTACATTGTCTGACTTCACACACTCATGTTCCGACAGATGCAGTTTGGTACATTGTCTGACTTCACACACTCATGTTCCGACAGATGCAGTTTGGTACATTGTCTGACTTCACACACTCATGTTCCGACAGATGCAGTTTGGTACATTGTCTGTGTTCCGACAGATGCAGTTTGGTACATTGTCTGACTTCACACACTCATGTTCCGACAGATGCAGTTTGGTACATTGTCTGACTTCACACACTCATGTTCCGACAGATGCAGTTTGGTACATTGTCTGACTTCACACACTCATGTTCCGACAGATGCAGTTTGGTACATTGTCTGACTTCACACACTCATGTTCCGACAGATGCAGTTTGGTACATTGTCTCACTTCACACACTCATGTTCCGACAGATGCAGTTTGGTACATTGTCTGACTTCACACACACTCATGTTCCGACAGATGCAGTTTGGTACATTGTCTCACTTCACACACTCATGTTCCGACAGATGCAGTTTGGTACATTGTCTGACTTCACACACTCATGTTCCGACAGATGCAGTTTGGTACATTGTCTCACTTCACACACTCATGTTCCGACAGATGCAGTTTGGTACATTGTCTCACTTCACACACTCATGTTCCGACAGATGCAGTTTGGTACATTGTCTGACTTCACACACTCATGTTCCGACAGATGCAGTTTGGTTCATTGTCTGACTTCACACACTCATGTTCCGACAGATGCAGTTTGGTACATTGTCTCACTTCACACACTCATGTTCCGACAGATGCAGTTTGGTACATTGTCTCACTTCACACACTCATGTTCCGACAGATGCAGTTTGGTACATTGTCTCACTTCACACACTCATGTTCCGACAGATGCAGTTTGGTACATTGTCTGACTTCACACACACTCATGTTCCGACAGATGCAGTTTGGTACATTGTCTGACTTCACACACTCATGTTCCGACAGATGCAGTTTGGTACATTGTCTCACTTCACACACTCATGTTCCGACAGATGCAGTTTGGTACATTGTCTCACTTCACACACTCATGTTCCGACAGATGCAGTTTGGTACATTGTCTCACTTTCACACACTCATGTTCCGACAGATGCAGTTTGGTACATTGTCTGACTTCACACACTCATGTTCCGACAGATGCAGTTTGGTACATTGTCTCACTTCACACACTCATGTTCCGACAGATGCAGTTTGGTTCATTGTCACACACTCATGTCTGACAGATGCAGTTTGGTACATTGTCTCACTTCACACTCATGTTCCGACAGATGCAGTTTGGTACATTGTCTGACTTCACACACACTCATGTTCCGACAGATGCAGTTTGGTACATTGTCTCACTTCACACACTCATGTTCCGACAGATGCAGTTTGGTACATTGTCTCACTTCACACACTCATGTTCCGACAGATGCAGTTTGGTTCATTGTCTCACTTCACACACTCATGTTCCGACAGATGCAGTTTGGTTCATTGTCTCACTTCACACACTCATGTTCCGACAGATGCAGTTTGGTACATTGTCTCACTTCACACACTCATGTTCCGACAGATGCAGTTTGGTACATTGTCTCACTTCACACACTCATGTTCCGACAGATGCAGTTTGGTACATTGTCTCACTTCACACACTCATGTTCCGACAGGTGCAGTTTGGTACATTGTCTCACTTCACACACTCATGTTCCGACAGATGCAGTTTGGTACATTGTCTCACTTCACACACTCATGTTCCGACAGATGCAGTTTGGTACATTGTCTCACTTCACACACTCATGTTCCGACAGATGCAGTTTGGTACATTGTCTCACTTCACACACTCATGTTCCGACAGATGCAGTTTGGTACATTGTCTCACTTCACACACTCATGTTCCGACAGATGCAGTTTGGTACATTGTCTCACTTCACACACTCATGTTCCGACAGATGCAGTTTGGTACATTGTCTCACTTCACACACTCATGTTCCGACAGATGCAGTTTGGTACATTGTCTCACTTCACACACTCATGTTCCGACAGATGCAGTTTGGTACATTGTCTGACTTCACACACTCATGTTCCGACAGATGCAGTTTGGTACATTGTCTCACTTCACACACTCATGTTCCGACAGATGCAGTTTGGTACATTGTCTGACTTCACACACTCATGTTCCGACAGATGCAGTTTGGTACATTGTCTCACTTCACACACTCATGTTCCGACAGATGCAGTTTGGTACATTGTCTGACTTCACACACTCATGTTCCGACAGATGCAGTTTGGTACATTGTCTGACTTCACACACTCATGTTCCGACAGATGCAGTTTGGTACATTGTCTGACTTCACACACTCATGTTCCGACAGATGCAGTTTGGTACATTGTCTGACTTCACACACTCATGTTCCGACAGATGCAGTTTGGTACATTGTCTCACTTCACACACTCATGTTCCGACAGATGCAGTTTGGTACATTGTCTGACTTCACACACTCATGTTCCGACAGATGCAGTTTGGTACATTGTCTCACTTCACACACTCATGTTCCGACAGATGCAGTTTGGTACATTGTCTGACTTCACACACTCATGTTCCGACAGATGCAGTTTGGTTCATTGTCTCACTTCACACACTCATGTTCCGACAGATGCAGTTTGGTACATTGTCTCACTTCACACTCATGTTCCGACAGATGCAGTTTGGTACATTGTCTCACTTCACACACTCATGTTCCGACAGATGCAGTTTGGTTGCAGTTTGGTACATTGTCTCACTTCACACACTCATGTTCCGACAGATGCAGTTTGGTACATTGTCTCACTTCACACACTCATGTTCCGACAGATGCAGTTTGGTTCATTGTCTGACTTCACACACTCATGTTCCGACAGATGCAGTTTGGTTCATTGTCTCACTTCACACACTCATGTTCCGACAGATGCAGTTTGGTTCATTGTCTGACTTCACACACTCATGTTCCGACAGATGCAGTTTGGTACATTGTCTCACTTCACACACTCATGTTCCGACAGATGCAGTTTGGTTCATTGTCTCACTTCACACTCACTCAGTTTGGTACATTGTCTCCTCATGTTCCCGATGCAGTTTGGTACATTGTCTGACTTCACACACTCATGTTCCGACAGATGCAGTTTGGTACATTGTCTGACTTCACACACTCATGTTCCGACAGATGCAGTTTGGTACATTGTCTCACTTCACACACTCATGTTCCGACAGATGCAGTTTGGTACATTGTCTGACTTCACACACTCATGTTCCGACAGATGCAGTTTGGTACATTGTCTGACTTCACACACTCATGTTCCGACAGATGCAGTTTGGTACATTGTCTGACTTCACACACTCATGTTCCGACAGATGCAGTTTGGTACATTGTCTCACTTCACACACTCATGTTCCGACAGATGCAGTTTGGTACATTGTCTGACTTCACACTCATGTTCCGACAGATGCAGTTTGGTACATTGTCTGACTTCACACACTCATGTTCCGACAGATGCAGTTTGGTACATTGTCTGACTTCACACACTCATGTTCCGACAGATGCAGTTTGGTACATTGTCTGACTTCACACACTCATGTTCCGACAGATGCAGTTTGGTACATTGTCTGACTTCACACACTCATGTTCCGACAGATGCAGTTTGGTACATTGTCTCACTTCACACACTCATGTTCCGACAGATGCAGTTTGGTTCATTGTCTCACTTCACACACTCATGTTCCGACAGATGCAGTTTGGTACATTGTCTGACTTCACACACTCATGTTCCGACAGATGCAGTTTGGTACATTGTCTGACTTCACACACTCATGTTCCGACAGATGCAGTTTGGTTCATTGTCTGACTTCACACACTCATGTTCCGACAGATGCAGTTTGGTGCAGTTTGGTACATTGTCTCACTTCACACACTCATGTTCCGACAGATGCAGTTTGGTACATTGTCTGACTTCACACACTCATGTTCCGACAGATGCAGTTTGGTTCATTGTCTCACTTCACACACTCATGTTCCGACAGATGCAGTTTGGTTCATTGTCTCACTTCACACACTCATGTTCCGACAGATGCAGTTTGGTACATTGTCTGACTTCACACACTCATGTTCCGACAGATGCAGTTTGGTACATTGTCTGACTTCACACACTCATGTTCCGACAGATGCAGTTTGGTTCATTGTCTGACTTCACACACTCATGTTCCGACAGATGCAGTTTGGTTCATTGTCTGACTTCACACACTCATGTTCCGACAGATGCAGTTTGGTACATTGTCTGTTCCGACACTTCACACACTCATGTTCCGACAGATGCAGTTTGGTTCATTGTCTGACTTCACACACTCATGTTCCGACAGATGCAGTTTGGTACATTGTCTCACTTCACACACTCATGTTCCGACAGATGCAGTTTGGTACATTGTCTGACTTCACACACTCATGTTCCGACAGATGCAGTTTGGTTACATTGTCTGACTTCACACACTCATGTTCCGACAGATGCAGTTTGGTACATTGTCTGACTTCACACACTCATGTTCCGACAGATGCAGTTTGGTACATTGTCTCACTTCACACACTCATGTTCCGACAGATGCAGTTTGGTACATTGTCTCACTTCACACACTCATGTTCCGACAGGTGCAGTTTGGTACATTGTCTCACTTCACACACTCATGTTCCGACAGATGCAGTTTGGTACATTGTCTCACTTCACACACTCATGTTCCGACAGATGCAGTTTGGTACATTGTCTCACTTCACACACTCATGTTCCGACAGATGCAGTTTGGTACATTGTCTGACTTCACACACTCATGTTCCGACAGATGCAGTTTGGTACATTGTCTCACTTCACACACTCATGTTCCGACAGATGCAGTTTGGTACATTGTCTGACTTCACACACTCATGTTCCGACAGATGCAGTTTGGTACATTGTCTCACTTCACACACTCATGTTCCGACAGATGCAGTTTGGTACATTGTCTCACTTCACACACTCATGTTCCGACAGATGCAGTTTGGTACATTGTCTCACTTCACACACTCATGTTCCGACAGATGCAGTTTGGTTTTGGTACATTGTCTGACTTCACACACTCATGTTCGACAGAGTTTGGTACATTGTCTCACTTCACATGCATGTTCCGGTATGCATTGTTGTCTCACTTCACACACTCACACACTCATGTTCCGACAAGATGCAGTTTGGTACATCTGTTCACACTTGTTCCCGACAGATGCAGTTTGGTACATTGTCTCACTTCACACACTCATGTTCCGACAGATGCATTTTGGTACATTGTCTGACTTCACAGACTCATGTTCCGACAGATGCATTTTGGTACATTGTCTGACTTCACACACTCATGTTCCGACAGATGCAGTTTGGTACATTGTCTGACTTCACACACTCATGTTCCGACAGATGCAGTTTGGTACATTGTCAGACTACTTTAACACTCTCTACAAGACAATGGGGGTAGATGCAGGAGCTCAGCCGAAGGGCATCCCTACGCTCAGTGGAGATTTCTTCACGTATGCTGACCGTGATGATCACTACTGGAGTGGGTACTTCACCTCCAGGCCCTTCTACAAACACCTGGACAGGCTAATGGAAGGTCATCTGAGGTGAGTGATTACTTGCAAGAGGCCAACAAGTTGATAGTGGGTTATCCCACGTATGTGTGTTCCTTTGGTGAACCTGATTTTCAAACATAATTACCTGTAATAATGCTGATGACAAAACTTCATGGATGATCAACTTCTTTATTTTGACAATGGTGACATTTCGGGTTAGATTCTTATACCGCATGCATGCTTGAAAACGATCATCCATGAAGTTTTGTCATCTCTATACGACCAACTTCTAGAATGCCACTTATGTAATAATGCTGCTGTTTTCACTGCTGTTGACCTCTGCTGTTATGCTGCTTGTAGGTCAGCTGAAGTCATATTTTCCATGGCCCAGTCATATGCTAGGAAGTTTACGTCATCAGCTTTTCCATCAGTGGAGATGATGAGCCACCTGGTGACGGCGCGGCGGGCACTGGGGCTGTTCCAGCACCACGACGGCATCACCGGCACCGCCAAGGACTTTGTGGTAGTGGACTATGGCAACAGGTCAGTTATAGTCAGGCTTCTGTTGGTCTTGGTTCATGTTACAGTTGTGGACAGTAAATACACAGGCCATTTTAGATTTCTGTGTCTTCAATGTGATGTGTATTTATGATATGCATTTATATGTGTGTAAGCTTGGTCTGGCAGCTGAAAAATACCACTGCAATGGTAAATTTTAACTCACTCACACACCCACATCCACACACACCCACACTACCCTACACAAGACTCACTCACTCACTCACTCACTCTTCAGTAGGTGAGGATACACTTTTTGTGTTGTAGGATAGTGGAGTCCCTAGCTAACCTGAAACGCTTGATAGTAGAGTGTGCCACATACCTGCTGGCTGCCGAGAAGAATGACTACAAGGACAAGACATACTACTTCAATGTGGTCAGTTCCATTTAGCAACTTTGGTATGTATGTCAACTTGGAGATGTCAGGAGGCGTCTTTGTAAAGCATGTTATTTTTTTCTTATCCTGACTCATGATCTTTTGCTTATCTCCCTTTCCTTTTTGAATGGTAGTGGAACACTACAGTCCCTTGAAGTTCACGAAGCGGACGTTAAAATACACTCATCCACGAGTTACCTCCCTTTTGCCCTTTTCCGAGCAAACAGTCATGTGACCAGCCTTACTTGTCACTCTCTCCCTTTTCGCCAAAGCGGATGGTTGGGCGAGCACTGGAGGCCCTTATATGGCATTATATCCTTTTCATTTAGGTCCTATTCTTCAAAATTATGCAGTATATGGATTTGGCAATAACTACTACGTATTATTTGTAAAAAATTTGTAAAAATTATTTGTATATATATGTCATAAATTCATCGTAATGTAACTTTGTTTACATTTCATGAAATCTTGCAGTGTTTGCCCGGCACAGGTTATCTGTGGCTGATCCTCACCCCCAGTGCCCTTCTTGCACAAAACCATGTTCTTCCAGCTTGCGCTGTACTTATTGTGTTGATTTATCAAATCTTCAATTTAATCAATATTTGTCTTATATCTATAGACGTGCCATGGATCGGGTGAGGAAGTCATCTCAAGTCACGGCTGATAAAACAGGAGATCAGCCTACAAACCGTATGTTGCTTGCTACTGCTGAAGTTCATAATACTGGTGCTATGTTTAGTATGTTGCAGGGGCAGTCTGCGGGTACGGGTGCATAGAAAAAATCGGCTACAACGCAGTTCACCCTGACTCAAGCTAAGAAAAAGACGTTATCTTCTACTACATTGCAGAAGAAAACATCTGTTACCAGATCGGAGGGTAAATCTATGCGTGCTAGTAAGTCAACGCAGCAGAAATCCTTCAACAAAGAGATATTACCTCAACACGAAGTGGACGTTTTTGATGACCCCCCATTACTTCTACCCGAAGTACCTACGAGATCAATCGACTTCTACAACTACTAGATCGTCCCCTGCAACGGTCACAGCAGGCCAGCTTTTTGACAAACTACCACCTACTTCTCAATGGAGTGAAGTTGAGGCGCAGAACTCATCAGCGTTTGCGAACGCTTCATCTACACCACAGCAGCGTCAACCAATGCAGAACTTCGACCCGGGCAAATTTATGAGACAATTCACCAACCAGATGATGGCCATGATGGAACGTAGGTTTGAGGAAGAAGTGAAGGCTCGGCGAAGCCTCTCATCTACTGACACTGTGCGCAAACCTACGGACCTGCGTGAACCTACTCCTCATAGAACTACGTCTCAAGACTACGTTGGCGAACATACACCTTTGCGAAGGTCTCCACAGTCGGACGACTCTGTCATCTTAGAGGAGGATAGAAGAGATGAGATGCCTACTCACAGCTCTACATCCACGAACCCTCAACGTTCAATAACATTGAAGGATCCATCTCCTACACCTAGCCGCTCTAGATTGAGATTTCATATCTCTCACAGACGTGGGGCGGTGGGGGTAGCCTAGTGGTTAAAGCGTTGGCTCGTCACACCGAAGACCCGGGTTCAATTCCCCACATGGGTACAATGAGTAAAGTCCATTTCTGCCGTCCCCTGCCATGATATTGCTGGAATATTGCTAAAAGCGGCGTTCGCGAGGTCACTCATCACGAGACAGAGGTTCGCAAAGAGAAGGCTCACATCACAAAAGTTCGCGAAGGGATACATCTAGCGACAGACGTTCGTGAAGAGATAGCTCACATCACAGAGGTTCGTGAAGAGATGAATCTACAGATAGAGGTTCGCGAAGAGAGCACTCTCAAGATAGACGTTCTCATAGGGAGGAATCTTCAGATACAGGTTCGCGAAGGATGATGAAGGTTCGAGAATGGAAACAGGTTCGCAGATTGATGAGCCGCAGAGGCCTAGCTCTAATAATCAGGAGACTCTGGATCAGCAAGCAGACTTCATGTTCCCAGACTCAGAGGTTACAGCGTGGATTGCCAACGGGTTGAACTTGGAGTCTCCTTCTAAGGATAAAGATGAAGTCTACACTTATATGATGCGCAACGACGACTTTGACTCCGTCACTATCCCGCCGATTGAACCTATAGTCAAGGTACCCTCTAACCTACGCACAGCTTTCGCGAAAGCATCCAAGTACCAGAGTCAGCATTTGCCATCATTTAATGTGAAGAGATTCCCCTTACATCATATGGATCCATTTACAAAGGCGCCTGAATGGGATGACAACATAAAGCTAGTCAACGACTCCCGAAACAAGATGTATAAAGTGGAAGATAAAAAGTTATCTCAACAAGGAGGTCCTTCTTTGGGTTGGCCAGGTCCAGAGCCATCAATGAAGCATTGATCAATAAATTCCAGAATATGAAGTCAGAGTTTGAACCAAAACAAGATCTGCAATTTCTGGGGATAAGGTTTATCACAACACAGAATCGTATTGTCGTCCCAGAAGATCGTTGGGTCAAGATACAAGCCATGATTCCACCAGCAGTTATCTCTCCGTTAACACTACAATCATGGCAAGTTCTACTCGGTCTACTAACCTCGGCGCAGGACTTGACTCGCACAGGAAGGTTACAACTAAGACCGCTGCAACGGTTCCTGACAAAACATCTAGACAGCGTCGACCCTATCTTGCTGCCAGACAACCTCAAGAGGTATATACTATTGTGGACGCACAGGTCGAATGTTTGCGGAGGGACCTATTTACAAGAGCCGGCCTTCGACTCACATCTCTACGTAGACGCTTCGATACAAGGCTTGGGGGAGCATCTCAAAAATCAAGATGCATCAGGAAAGTGGTCCAAAATAGAGCAGCATCTTCACATCAATCTGCTGGAGATGAAAGCCATGATCAACGCCTCTACAACTATGGTCGAGCTCGCTGAACAACAAAATGCTGATGGTCCACATGGACAACTCTACAGTGGCATTCTCCATAAATCGGCAAGGATCCACAAGGTCTCCAAGCCTGCTACAGCTCACATTCCAGTTGTTCCACATCATGGAGGAAGCAAACATTTGGATAAAGGCGTGTCACATACCCGGAGCCAAGAATGTACTTGCAGACGCTCTCTCCCGACCACTGCACCCCTCACCTACGGAATGGATGCTCCATCCACAAGCGTTCTGGCTCATCATAAGGGAAATAGGATCCCCTAGCATAGACCTGTTTGCCACAAGGTTCAACAAACAACTACAGACGTTTGTCTCACTGGTTCCAGATCCTCAAGCCTGGGCAACAGATGCACTGAGCATATCTTTGGAAGGACTAAACGCTTACGTGTTTCCACCCCGATATTACTACCGGAAGTACTGTTAAAGATCAAACAGACAGGTGCTACAAGTGACTTTGGTCACGCCATACTAGCCAGCGAGAGTATGGTTCCTAGACCTAATAGAAGATCTCGGAAGTCCAACAATCAAGTTACCAGATTGGCCGAACCTACTCATACATCCGCACACCAAGCAAGTCCACGGGAACCCGACAGCGTTCCAGCTACACGTGTGGACCGTATCAAAACATGTTTGAAGAAAAGAGGATACTCCGCGGGTGCAGCCAAGGCAGTAATGCTAGCGTTACACTGATCTACTCGTAACCTGTATGATGACAAGTGGCTGAAGTTTGAGACTTATGCAAGGCGGAAAGGCTTCACTGCGATGAAAGCTACTCATCCTCAAGTAGCGGAATATCTGTGTCATCTTAGACAGACCAGACATCTGAAAGGTTCGACATTATCTACGTATCTCGCCGCCATCAGTACAGTGATTACCATGAAAAGAGGCATCAAGTTGACGAAAGTACCAGAATTACTTGCTCTGGTGAGATCTTTTAAACTGGAATACAAGCAAAAGAAGTTCAGAGCTCCGGCCTGGGATCTGAATGTAATGCTATGTCATCTTACGAGTGATGCATACGAACCTCTAGACCAGACTACCTTCGAGCTGCTGACACAGAAGACTCTGTTCCTGCTTGCGCTAGCCACGGCAGCTCGAATATCAGAGATACCTGCGCTGGACTTTGGTCGAACCAGATTCGACAAGGGGCAACATGCTGCAGTTCATCTAGGACTTAGATGGGACTTCATTGCCAAGAACCAACTACCTGGTCAACCAGATAGACAGTTCCATGTACCAGCGCTATCTACAATCCACGGCCCAGAGGATATAGAAGACCTATCCTTGTGTCCTGTCAGAGCCCTGAAGATATATCTTCAAAAGACTGAGACAAGGAGACAAAAATTCAACCGCCTGTTCATCCCATTATCAACAGAGACATCAGCAGAAGTCTCAAGAATGACGATATCGTTCTGGATGAGAGCCGTCATATTGAGAGCCTATAAAGCAGCAGGACTAGAACCGCCTAGAGCTTCCAACCCACACGAAGTCAGAGCACTGGCGTCAACACTGGCTCTGCACGGAAATTGCTTTATACCAGCAATTATGGAGGGCTGCTTTTGGAAATGGGACACAGTGTTTGCCAACCACTACCTCCGAGACATAGCCACTGAAGACGTCTCAGGCATTCACCAATTTGGGCCTCTTGTTGTAGCACAGCAACTAACGGTTCCTCAAAGGCTCTGAGTTGGAAAATCTCACCCTTTATCACATTGACTTGTTGATAACTAATACTAAGGAAAAGTATTAGTTTGAAAGTCCATGCGCACAGTCTAGGACAGGCTAGCATGAGTGATTAAAGATCCTGTACGGGTAAAGATCTTACCTGTACGTGAAGGGGTCGCAACTCATTTATGATAAAGATCTTATCATAATCTATGGGTTGTTATAAGATATCTAGTAATAAGAGGATACTAGTTTATCTGTTGCCACATGAATCAACATGATTCAACTTGTCTGAGACTGAAGTAAGACAAGAAAGTGGTCCCCCTGAGTTATAACGGAATTTGGAAGAATAGGATCACGGAAATGCCGTTTCGCAGTTCCCATGGGGGGGATACAGGACGTATCTAAGGACAGCTGATGAATCAATGAAGTGGCTTGACCCACCACCAATCTTTCGGATTCTATAAGCAAAAGATCATGAGTCAGGATAAGAAAAAATATGTAATTTTTCAAGTAAAATTGATATTTTTATACTTATCCTGACTCATGACGAGAAGACCTCCCAACCTCCCCGCTGAAGACACTTTGGATTTCACAGCAGATCCAAGTGCAGGGGCAGAAAATCAGGAGAGAGTGGCAAGTAAGGCTGGTCACATGACTGTGTGTGCGGGAAAAGGGCAAAAGGGAGGTAACTCGTGGGTGAGTGTATTTTTACGTCCGCTTAGGGAACTTCAAGGGATTCAAGTGTTCCACTAAAATTTGAAAAGGAAAGAGAGATAAGCAAAAGTCATGAGTCAGGATAAGTATAAAAATATCAATTTTACTTGAAAAATTAGATTTTTGTGAAGGAGTCACAATGAAGGTGTGAGGAACTGTTTCTATGATGCCTGGTTTGTGTGAAGCTACCTTTGTTTATGTTACAGGATGAGTTAAGGGAATCCCATGATTCTTTGCCAGACAAGACCATGATGGAGTTATCTGAGAACTTCAGGTGAGGGATATTTATTTTCTGTTGTTTACAATGCATATCTTGTTATTTGTATAACCATTTTTCACCTGGAACCTACTTTACATCAACATTACAGATTGTCAGATGAATCACATCAACATTACAGATTGTCAGATGAATCACATCACCAACATAATAGATTGTCAGATGAATCACATCAACATAATAGATTGTCAGATGAATCCCACCAACATAATAGATTGTCAGATGAATCCCACCAACATTACAGATTGTCAGATGAATCCCACCAACATTACAGATTGTCAGATGAATCACATCAACATAATAGATTGTCAGATGAATCCCACCAACATAATAGATTGTCAGATGAATCACATCAACATAATAGATTGTCAGATGAATCACATCAACATTACAGATTGTCAGATGAATCCCATCAACAGTACAGATTGTCAGATGAATCCCACCAACATAATAGATTGTCAGATGAATCCCACCAACATTACAGATTGTCAGATGAATCACATCAACATAATAGATTGTCAGATGAATCCCATCAACATTACAGATTATCAGATGAATCACATCAACATTACAGATTGTCAGATGAATCACATCAACATTACAGATTGTCAGATGAATCCCACCAACATATTGTCAGATGAATCCCACCAACATAATAGATTGTCAGATGAATCACATCAACATAATAGATTGTCAGATGAATCCAACCAACATAATAGATTGTCAGATGAATCACATCAACATAATAGATTGTCAGATGAATCCCATCAACATTACAGATTGTCAGATGAATCCCATCAACACTACAGATTGTCAGATGAATCCCACCAACATAATAGATTGTCAGATGAATCCCACCAACATAATAGATTGTCAGATGAATCACATCAACATTACAGATTGTCAGATGAATCACATCAACATTACAGATTGTCAGATGAATCCCACCAACATAATAGATTGTCAGATGAATCCCACCAACATAATAGATTGTCAGATGAATCCCACCAACATAATAGATTGTCAGATGAATCACATCAACATAATAGATTGTCAGATGAATCACATCAACACTACAGATTGTCAGATGAATCACATCAACATAATAGATTGTCAGATGAATCACATCAACATTACAGATTGTCAGATGAATCACATCAACATAATAGATTGTCAGATGAATCACATCAACATAATAGATTGTCAGATGAATCACATCAACATAATAGATTGTCAGATGAATCACATCAACACTACAGATTGTCAGATGAATCCCACCAACATTACAGATTGTCAGATGAATCCCACCAACATAATAGATTGTCAGATGAGTCACATCAACATTACAGATTGTCAGATGAATCCCACCAATATAACAGATTGTCAGATGAATCCCACCAACATAATAGATTGAACATAGAGATTTTTTCTGGGTTACAGAATAAAAAGGAGATGTAACCCAGAAACAATCTCTATGTTCATCAAATATCTTCTAAAATGCCAAACAAGCATCTAACATAATAGATTGTCAGATGAATCAGACACGGCTGACTCTGAAATATGCGGAGTTCCAAGGTCATTTGCATGTTATCTCATGCTAAGAACCAACTCACGTCCTGGCTGCTATAGTCTAAGGGAAATAACTCTAGCCTATCAGAAAAGCGTGTCTGAAGTTGCCTTATTATATCATATCTGGGGTTGATCTCAAACATTACGGTTTGGTTTGATTGTCTCAGCGACAGTGTAACATAAGAATCTGATGCTGTTTGAATTCACCTGTTGATAGGTCAGTGATTCTGTACAACTCCATGGCTAACAAGCGAGTGGAGGTGGTGAAAGTGTTTATCAATGCTGTGGATGTCGAGGTCCAAGACCCAACAGGCAAAGTCATTCACTCTCAGATAGAGCCGTTCTGGGCAGACACTGACAGCACTGCAGGCATGAAGTACAAGGTATGTTAATTGTGTCTCAGATAGAGCCGTTCTGGGCAAATACAGACAGTCAGTGCAGGTTTGAAGTACAAGGTATGTTAATTGTGTCTCAGATAGAGCCGTTCTGGGCAAATACAGACAGTCAGTGCAGGTTTGAACTACAAGCTGTGTGTTGAATATATGTGGGCTTAGATAGCGGCGAGTCTTGGGATTGACTACAACTCCTGTCATGTGTGTGTGTCTTGATGAGGAACGGTCAGTTTTCTTGTCATTATCAATGTCAGTGGCTTAAGTGGCAGACTGGGGTCTAAAGGTGATTCTGGTACACCATGGTTGTGTTTCATGTACGTTGTGTTTTATGTTTCCACTAACTGCAGTGTGGTTGTTTCCAGCTTGCCTTTGTGTGTGAGTTACCTGCCCTTGGTGTGGCCCGCTACCAGATCCGCCGAGTTGCCCCTGCCTCCAACCCCAGACACCACAGGGTAGAGATCAAGCTGATCAATGCCCAGCCAACACAGGCCATTGTGTAAGTTTATACCTGCCACTCTTAAGATTCCTAATATTGGCTAGCTGTAACTAGCTGTTCTACGTATTACATTCTGAGGATGAGCAGGGATGTGTTTCTTTTTCAGGCCATCTTTTCTTGTGAAACGTGTGACTGACTCAGCTGATTTTAGTCTGGAGAACGTTTACTTTAAAGCTCGATTCTCTGGGACTACTGGGTTGTTGAAGGTAAGAAATGGTTACATATTTTTCCTTATCCTGACTCATGCTTATTGCTTGTCTTCTTCTTCTTGCGAACATAGTGGAACACGTGTATCTCCCAATTGAAGTTCCCTTCAATTAAAAAATCACTAATTAGTACTCACCACGAGTTACCTCCCTTCGACAAGCATGGGAACGAGGGCGCCACCTGAACCCATGTGCCTCACTCTCTCCTCCTTCGCCCAGTGAGCTGGACGTGAGAGCGCCTGTGTCTCCCAACACACTATATCCTTTATTTATATTTAGTTAAGTACCTCTTATATTCAGTTATAGAAGTGTAACTAGTATCCTTATTCAACTTGCATTGATTATTAGTCGTGTTTCTGCTGTTTTATTCACGGTTCGCCGTGTTTGTTCAGCAGTTTACGCTCATGAGAATCTACACAGGTTGTAAACTACGTTATTCCACTACCGATCCACATTTAAAATGCCCTAGTTGCATTACTCCATGTTCTATTGTTTCTCGTAAATTATGTATTAATTTACCAATTTCTGCCTTTGATAAATATTTATGTTCCGTTTTGAGACGGAAGGCAGATAAATCTCACAAACAATCTTCAGTCATGGCTAATAGATCGGAAGCTATTATACCCTGTCAACTGTTGACTGACGACCCGTCACCGGCTGGTGGCATGCCGGAATTTCCCTCATGGGATAAGCGTGGGACGGAGTCCGCTATGTCCAAGAAGCAACCTGCATCTCAAGACATTCCGTCTTCTCAGTCTAAGACTAGGAAAGCATCCACATCATCTCAACGTACGCTTCGAACCCCCAGGTCCACAGCTTCGTCAAAAGGGAAATCTACGAAAACTACAAATAATTTTGCCTCCGATATACTACCTGTCTCAGAATTATGTTTATATGATGATGACATTCCGATTATCATTCCAGATGTACGTCATAAGAAACGTCCAGTATCTGCTACCGTCACAACAGTCAACCCCCCAGGGTTCAACGTTCAACCGGCACAACTACCTATGTTAAGAGAAACAGTACTTACTCTACTAAACAAACAGGCCTTAGAAGTTCTGGATCAACGAAACATCGTACCAGGTTTCTACTCCCCAGTTTTCCTATTGCCCAAGAAAAATTCCAAGGAGAAGTTTCGTCTCAGATACAACATGAGCATCTTCAACAGAGAATATCTATGCAAACCTCCAACGTTTCGCATGATACACTTACCGCAACCTCGGCATTTAATTCGTCCCAAAGATTACATGGCCTGCATAGATTTGCAAGACGCATATCTACACATTCCGATTCATCCCAACTCAAGGAAATATCTAAGATTTATCCTAGATGGGAAACATTACCAATGGAAGGTTCTTCCCTTCGGAATCACATCGGCCCCTTGGGTATTCACAAGAGTGACCAAGCCTATTGTCTCATACGTACATCGTCAAGGTCTTCGCAGCGCCTTTTACCTAGACGACGGTATACAAGTGGATCCAGATCCACAGCGTCTCAGACTACAGCTGAATTTTATAATCAAGCTACTAACACAATTAGGATGGTTAGTAAATCTACTCAAGTCAGACCTAGAACCAACGCAAGATCTGCAATTTCTAGGTATACGATTTCTAACAGCTCAGAATCGTATTGTAGTCCCGGAGGACAGATGGATCAAGATCCAACAACTTATTCCTCAAGCCCTACTCTCTCCGTTACCACTACGACAGTGGCAGAGCCTATTGGGACTACTCACATCAGCTCAAGACTTGACAGTCAGAGGCAGGCTTCAATTACGTCCGTTACAAGTCCTCATCAATGGTCATCTCGAGGACCCTCTACCATTCAGTCTACCAGATTATGTCAAACCACATCTACTCTGGTGGACCAAGAGATTGAATGTTTGCGCAGGCGTCTCCTTAGTAGAGCCGGAAGCAGTCATAAACGCCATAAGTCACTGGAGCAACATACTACAGAACGCTCAGTTGATGGTTCACACAGACAATTCAACAGTGGCATTTTATGTGAACAAACAAGGTTCAACAAGGTCACAGAACCTACTGACTCGAAGTTTCAGACTGTTCGATTTAATCGACAATCTAAACATACACGTCAGAGCTTGCCACATTCCAGGAGCAAAGAATGTATTAGCAGACGCTCTCTCTCGGCCACACCAACCGTCGCCGACAGAATGGATGCTCCACACAGAGATATTCAATCAAATAATCATGGAAATAGGATCTCCACTGATAGACCTATTCGCCACTTTCGATTCAACAAGCAACTGACAACATTCGTTAATGCCAGTGCCAGACCCACTAGCATGGGCAACGGACGGCTCTAAGCATATCGTGGGAGAGACTCAGCGCTAAGCGCTTTCCCGCCTCAGCGTTGATCCCACAAGTCTTACAGAAAATCAGTCAAACGCAAAGCCTCCATCTGATTTTAGTCACATGCCTCTACTGGCCAGCAAGAACTTGGTTTCCAGATCTCATTCAAGTAATGGGAAAACCAATTCTTCAGCTCCTACAACGCCAATCTATTGATACATCCGCGACACCAAACAAGTGCACGAAACACCAGAAGCATTCCAACTTCATTATGGATTGTATCAAGGCATGTCTGAATAAGAGAGGTTATTCTGCCAGAGCGGCTAAAGCAGTCACACTTGCACTCATTAACTCAACTTCGTGGAATCCTGCGATGACAAATGGCACAGTTTTGTCAATTACGCTGCTAAGAAAGGATTTACAGCCAGATATGCTACACATCCTCAAGTGGCAGATTTCTTATGTTATCTACGGCAAACTAAGAATCTAAAAGGCTCAACCTTGTCCACTTATCTAATTGAAGGAACTTCAATTGGGAGATACACGTGTTCCACTATGTTCGCAAGAAGAAGAAGACAAGCAATAAGCATGAGTCAGGATAAGTATAAAATATTAATTTTACTCTAAAAATTTCATTATTATAGAGAGTTAACGTCAGACCTTTTGATGCATGGTCAAATGCCTTGCCCTCATGGCCCTATCCACATGAGGTTAACCCTGTTACTGCTGAAGGTTATATACGGAAACAGAGCTGCCCACAGTCACATTGTACAGGTTCCACTTTCAACACTTTTTCTTTCAGACGATGACAACCAAACCAGACTTGGTAGAACACAAGACTGAGACTGAGTTTGTCCTGTATGGAACCAAAAATGCTAAGGAAAAGTCTGGAGCCTATTTGTTCCTGCCTGATGGTGTGGCCAAGGTAGGGCTTATGGGCAGAACCTCATTCACACATGCTTTGGTCAACAGTTTTAGGTTTCCTACCGGTGATGATTCCTCCAGTAAGGTGTAGCAATTCTGTGACACTACACATTGCTTCCGTAATGTTTAATGATTCTGTGAAACTACACCTTACTTCAGTACAGTAATGATTCTGAAACATTTCTCTATTTCAGCCAGTGAACATTGTTGGCCCCTTGGTGCGAATTATCACGGGTCCTATCTTGTCCGAAGTTCATGTCTTCACACCTTATGCAGAACACGTAGTGCGGGTCATGAACTCCCCAGGTACAAACACTGAACCTGTCAAACTACTCTGTTGCATAAATGGTAAAATAAGACTAGGCAAACTTAAAAGTCTGAAATATTTCTGTAAACCAGTGAAGTGAAGCACATGCACATAGCATTGTTTGCTGACTGACAAATGACATCTTGTCTGGTCTGAAGGAAGGAGGGTGGGTATTACTGGAGCAGTGGGTGATGTCTGGTCTATAGGAAGAAGGGTGGGTATTACTGGAGCGGAGGTGATGTCTGGTCTAAAGAAAGGAGCTGAGGTGATGTCTGGTCTAAAGGAAGGAGGGTGGGTATTACTGGAGTGGTGGAGGATGTCTGGTCTATAGGAAGGAGGGTGGGTGTAACTGGAGCGGAGGTGATGTCTGGTGTAATGGAAGGAGGGTGGGTGTTATTGAAGCGGAGGTGATGTCTGGTCTAAAGGAAGGAGGGTGGGTATTACTGGACTGGTGGGTGATGTCTGGTCCAAAGGGAGGAGGGTGGGTGTTACTGAAGCAGAGGTGATGTCTGATCTAAAGGAAGGATGGTGGGTATTACTGGAGCGGAGGTGGGTGATGTCTGGTTTAAAGGGAGGAGGGTGGGTATTACTGGGGCGGAGGTGATGTCTGGTCTAAAGGGAGGAGCGTGGGTATTACTGGACTGGTGTGTGATGTCTGGTCTAATGGAAGGAGGGTGGGTATTACTGGAGCGGAGGTGATGTCCGGTCTAAAAGGGAGGGAGGAGGGTGGTTGTTACTGAGCCGGAGGTGATGTCTGGTCTAAAGGGAGGAGGAGGGTGGGTATTACTGGACTGGTGGGTGATGTCTGGTCTAAAGGGAGGAGGTGGGTATTACTGGAGTGGAGGTGATATCTGGTCTAAAGTCCTAAAAGGGAGGGTGTCTGGTAAAGGAAGGAGGTATTCATGTCTGTAAAGGAAGGGAGGTGGGTGATGTCTGGTCTGGAAGGAAGGTGGGCCACTGGAGCGAGGTATGTCTGGTCAAAGGAAGGGAAGGTGGGCCAGCCTGGTGTTGGTGATGTCTGGTCTAAAGGATGGAGGGTGATGTCACAGTGGTGGGTGATGTGGAAAGGAAGGAAGGTGGGTGATGTACCGGGAGCGTGGGTGATGTCTGGTCTAAAGGGAAGAAGGTGTCTGGAGTGGTGGGCCATGTCTGAAAGGCAGGAGGGTGGTGCAAAGCCGGAGGGATGTCTGGTCTAATGGAAGGAGGGTGGTGTAACTGAGCGGAAGGGAAGGAGGGTGGGGTGTTACTGGGCCGGGAGGGGTGATGTCTGGGCTAGGAAGAGTGCGGGTGTAACTGAGCGTGTGGGTGATGTCTGGTCTAATGGAAGGAGTGGTGGGTGTTACTGGAGCTGCGGTGGGTGATGTCTGATCTAAAGGAAGAAGGGTGGGTGTTACTGGGTGAGGGTGATGTCTGGTGTAAGGAGGGCCGTGTAACTGGAGCTGTGGGTGATGTCTGGATCTAAGGGAAGGGAGGTGGCTATGTCTGGTGTAAAGGAAGGAGGTGTGATGTCTGGTCTAAAGGAAGGAAGGTGGGTATTACTGGCGAGGTGATGTCTGGTCAAAGGAAGGAGGAGGGTGGGTTGTGTGACTGGTCTAAAGAAGGAGGGTGGGTTTTACTCGGTGGGTGATGTTCGGTTTAAGGGAGGAGGGTGAAGTGTTACTGGAGCAGTGTGTGATGTCTGGTCTAAAGGAAGGAGTGGGTGGGTGTTACCGGGAGTGTTGTGTGATGTCTGGTCTAAAAGGGGGAGGTGGGTAAGGAGGTGTGATGTCTGGACTAAAAGCGGGTGGTGGGTGCCACTGAGCCGTGGGTGATGTCTGGTCTAAGCGAGAGGGTGGGAGGGCTAGGAGCGTGGTGATGTCTGATACTGGAAGTGAGGTGGGTGATTGGAGGTGGGTGATGTCTGGTCTAAAGGAAGGATGGTGGGTGTTACTGGGTGGTGGGTGATGGGGCCCTGATCTAAAAGGAAGGAGGGTGGGTGTTGTGCTAACTGGATGTCTGGCGGAGGTGACGTCCTGGTCTGGGTGATGGAAGGAGGAGTGGGTATAACTGGTTGGTGATGTCTGGTCTAAAGGAGGAGGTGGGTGTTACTGAGCGGGTGGGTGATGTCTGGATCCAAATGATCCAAAGGAATGAACCGGAGCCGGAGGTGATAAATGCGGCCACCGGAGCCCGAGTGGACACCGACCCAGACCGAGTGGAAGGGTGGATAACCCGGATTTCCAGGAATAGGGATACCGGAGTGGACGGTGCGGATAACTGGCGGATCCAGCGGAGGGTGGATGTCTGGACCTTTCGAACCGGAGGAAGGAGGAAATGCGGTACCGAGCCCGATGGAAGGTGGAGTAAAGGAAGGACGGTCTGGTCCGTACGACGCCCGGAAGGAGTGCCCAGGGTGGGTGTTACTGGAGACAAACCATTCAAAGGAATACCGGAGCGGTGATGTCCCGATCCAGCGACGGTGGGTGCCACGCCGAGCCGTGGTGATGTCCGGATCTGAAAGGAAGGACGGTGGTACAATGGAGCCGTGGTGATGCCCGACCCATGGAAGAATGGACCGGAGGATAACCGGTCTGAAATGGAAGGGATGGTGGCATGGAGTGGATAACCCGACCCATGAAGGTGGTATACGGACCGGCCAGGATGGAGGTGGAAACACGAGCCCGATCCATGGAAGCGAGGAATACCGGCAACGTCCATCCAGCGTCATCAACCGGAAATCCAGCGGAAATGTGGTGACACCGGAGGTGATCCAACCGGAGCGGATCATTCAAATGGAAGCCACCGGACGGAGGTGACAACTGGCTAACGGAATGGGTAACCGGAGCCGGGTGACACCGGATCCATGGAATATGACAAACCCGGAAATAGCCGGAGTGACGGACCGGACCGGTGGCCGACGTCCAGCGTGGTGGCACCGGAGCAGTGGTGACCATCCAGCCGAGGAACACCGGAGTGGAACGGCCCCAGCGCACACCGGACCGGTGAGTGGACAACCAGCGACCCAGACCCAATGCCGGAGCCCGGATCTACTGGAGCCGTGGTGAACCCGGGATCCAGCGGAAGGACGGGTGTTACCGGAGCCCGATCCCATGGAAAGGAATGGACCGGAGCCAAGGAACAATGGATAAACGACCCATGGAAGCCCGGCCCAGCACAGGCCAACCGGAGCCGGATCAAACCCAACACCGGAGACGTCCAAGGACGGAGTGGCACACCGGAGCCGGGTGGACAACCGGACCCAGCGGAAGGAGTGGAACACAAGGACCATTCAGGAAGGTGGCACACTGAGCCGGGTGACAACCCGGAAGGAAGGTGGACACTGAGCCGTGATCCCAGGAAGGAGGAACTGAGGTGATGTCTGGCCCAACGGAAGAGGAAACACAGAACGGGTGGACAACCCATTCAAAGGAATGAACCGGAATGGAGGTGGATGTCTGGCCCAAAGGAAGGAGGGTGGTGCCACCGGAGCGGTGTTACTGGACAGCCTGGTGGGTGATGTCTGGTCTAAAAGGAAGGATGGTGGGTGTTACTGGAGGGGTGGTGGGTGATGTCTGATCTAAGGGAAGGAGGGTGGGTGTTACTGGACTGGTGGATTGGGTGATGTCTGGTCTAAAAGGAAGGATGGTGGGTGTTACTGGAGTGGTGGGTGATGTCTGATCTAAAAGGAGGGGGTGCATACTGGACTGGTGGGTGATGTGGGAGGGTGGGTGTGGAGGGGTGATGTCTGGTCTAAGGAAGGAGGTGATGTCTGGTGGTGTGTGATGTCTGATCTAAAGGAAGGAGGGTGGGTGTGGAGCCGTCTGGTGATGTCTGTAGGTGGAAGGAACTGGGTGTTACTGGAGTGAGGAGGTGATGTCTGGTCTAAAGGAAGGAGGGTGGGTGTCTACTGGAGTGGTGGTGATGTCTGGTCTAAAGGAAGGAGGGTGGGTGTTACTGGAGCGGTGGGTGATGTCTGGTCTAAAGGAAGGAGGGTGGGTGTTACTGGAGCGGTGGGTGATGTCTGGTCTAAAGGAAGGAGGGTGGGTGTTACTGGAGCCGGAGGGTGATGTCTGGTCTAAAAAGGGAAGGAGGGGTGGGTGTAACTGGAGCGGGTGGGTGATGTCTGGTCTAATGGAAGGAGGGTGGGTGTAACTGGAGCAGGATGGGGGACTGGTGGCTGATGTCTGGTCTAAAGGAAGGAGGGTGGGTGTTACTGGAGCGGAGGTGATGTCTGGGCTAATGGAAGGAGGGTGGGTGTAACTGGAGCGGTGGGTGATGTCTGATCTAAGGGAAGGAGGTGGGTGATGTCTGGTGTAAAGGAAGGAGGATGGGTTTTACTGGACTGGTGGCTGATGTCTGGTGTAAAGGGAGGAGGGTGGGTGTTACTGGAGCAGTGGGTGATGTCTGGTCTAAAGGAAGGAGGGTGGGTGTTACTGGAGTGTTGTGTGATGTCTGGTCTAAAGGGGGGAGGGTGGGTATTACTGGACTGGTGAGTGATGTCTGGTCTAAAGGATGGAGGGTGGGTGTTACTGGAGCGGTGGGTGATGTCTGATCTAAAAGGAAGGATGGTGGGTGTTACTGGTCTAAAAGGGTGATGTCTGATCTAAAGGGAGGAGGGTGGGTGTTACTGGAGCGGTGGGTGATGTCTGATCTAAAGGAAGGATGGTGGGTGTTACTGGAGCGGTGGGTGATGTCTGGTCTAAAGGAAGGAGGGTGGGTGTTACTGGAGCGGTGGGTGATGTCTGGTCTAAAGGAAGGAGGGTGGGTGTTATTGGCGCGGTGGGTGATGTCTGGTCTAAAGGACAATATCATGCCTAGTGGAGGGACTGGGGTCTTACAACAGTGGTGGACAATATCATGCCTAGTGGAGGGAGTGGCGGTTTATGAGAGCGGTGGACAATATCACGCTTAGTGGAGGGAGTGGGGTTTTACAACAGTGGTGGACAATATCATGCCTAGTGGAGGGAGTGGGGTTTTATGAGAGTGGTGGACAATATCATGCCTAGTGGAGGGAGTGTTGTTATACAAGAGTGGTATCAATTTCCATTGCAGGAAGTGATGGCACTGCTCTGGATGTGTACAACATTGTGGATGTCCGACATCTGCTGAACAAGGAAGTAGCCATGAGAATCAGTACTGACATAAAGAACCAAGACAGAGTGTTTTATACAGACTTGAATGGATTCCAGGTCAGGCCTATTTGTCGATAGAACAAGTAACTAAATTGTAAATATTGGATATATAAAGATGTCTTCAAAAATGTTCAAACAGCTTTTCAAACAACTGATCAACAGTTTGTAAATGTCCAGAATGTATAATCAGTGCATACATGTAGTGTTATACACCACAGAAGACACCAAATTTTTAACTAATCCTGCACTACTTACTTCCTGCACTTATTGCTTACGACTCTAAACGTGGCTGTGCCAGACGATTGATGTTGGAAGCGTAGACTGTGATCACTTCCTGTTTTCAGGTAAACATCCATTTGTGCACACATCACCGGAAGGTGACATCAGCCACCTCAGATTATTGCTTTTCGCATGCTTTGCAAGACGCTTGGTTTGCCAGCTCGACTGATTTGTATCCTATAAATTGACTTTTGGGTGGTTTCCTTTGTTCTTCAGAGGGTGTACACCTTCTGTCTGTCTTTTTTGTAGTACTGTTGTAGTGATGGTGTTTGTGATAAACACGATAGTTTTCATCACTATTATCGGTCACTTCGCCATTCAGAACACGTGGCTTCGATGTATTCGTAGTGGCTTGTTCTTGGCTCATGCTTATTTGTTATACTATATTTTTTCTTATCCTGACTCATGCTACTTGCTTGTCTTCTTCTTCTTGCGAACACACTGGAACACTTGTATCTCCCAATTGAAGTTCTCTTCAATGTAAAATCACTAATTCTTTTTCAGAGAGATCGTCCTTGGGGTACATATTATGCATTTTCCGGCTGAAAAATGTCCTGTGACAGTTGTATCAATGTTTTTTGAATAAAAAGATTGAACAATAAATAAACTCTTTTATTTATTATCCGGCCCCTACCTCACGGAGTTACCTCCCTTAGCGCATGCGCACCAACTGGGTAGGCTCCTAGACCCGTATCATCATTCCTTCTGCTGTCACTGCCGTGAACAGACGTGTTTATAATAGACCGCACTTCATGAGCCGGACAGCGCTGAAAGCTAATAAGAAAGCTATGTCTGAGACACCACCTGTATGTATGGTCTTTATTTGCCTAAAACAAGGAACAGTAAAGCTTTACAGTTGGTTGTTTCATACTTGTGACTTTGTATTAATACAAATTACTTAACTCTTTCCGTGGTTTACGACGTGTTGCTCTGCCATGGCGGGAAGTTTAGCGTGCCATGTGGTCGTAATATTGCGTATTAAAACCAACTATTACTTTCCTCGTGGTAACCTTCACGTATTTTTCAATGTTTTCTACGTGTTTATATGCTGCTGGCCGCTGTTAGCTACATGCTTGCGTGTTTGCTTTCAGGCCTTTTCATCCTGTTCGGGTCTGTGGACAGAGAGAAATTCCACGGGCCGACAGGCATGAGCTATCGTTGCCTGTCTTGAGAAGACGGGCCACGGCGCTGAGTCCTGCCCTATTTGTCTGGCCTTTTCCCCGGGCCCAGAAGAGGCGGCGGCCCGATCACGTTGTTTTATCGCGGAGATGCGTGAAGCGGGAGGGACCTGGACGCAGGTCCCCCGCTCTAAAACAAAACGAACGCCAAAAGGGAAAAAATCCCGGCCCTTCCCTCTCCCTACCACTTCGAAAGTGGTTTTGACATGTCGGTAATGGAATCTATGTTTCAGCAGCATATGGCCTCCGTGGAAGTCCTTCGCTCGAGTCGGGTTGGAGGTCTCCGGCAGGAGTTCCTCACCCACTCGGGACGGGGCGAGAGTCCGGGGGAGTGGGATCGCCGGGCTCGCTCGATCCCTCAGCCTTGAGGCGCCTGTAGATCCGCTGCCTCTGGCTTCGGATCCGGACGCCTTCGGCTGCTCGGGAGAGGGAGGTGCTCCCAGTCCCCTCTCGGAGTTAAGCGCAGGGACCGCTGAGTATTCCTGGTATTCCGGTCCTTGCGCACACCCGCCTTTGAGAGCGGGAGGCACCAGTTCTGCCTGGCCTGCCTCCCAGCGTCTGGGACCGGGGTCCACGCACGCCGGGCTGGCGCTGACGTGGAGCCGCCTGTCTGTTCTTCCCTTCCTGTGGTTCCTAGCGCCAGGCAGTCCACCGGGTCGGGGTTAGGGTCCTCTTACGGAGGAGACCCAGCCTCTGACTCGGGCTCGGGCGCCGAGGCAATGGAGCTTAAGGGAGGTTGAGGAGCAGGACGGAGGCTTCCGCTTTTCCGCGCCTTGCGGGAGGTCCGGCAGAGAATTGCCGAGGGCCTACCCCAGGCAGCGGTGCCTGCTGGTTGCGTGGACTCGACTGAGTTCCGCTTGCCAGAAGGCGAGGCGTTTGCCCTAGGCAACCCTCGCGAGACGCAGCTCCGCGATTCTGCCTTCGCTGGTCTCGGGGCGTGGTCGATCCCCTCTGTCTGGTGCCCGAAAGCACGGTTTGACTTACCGATCTCGCGCGGGCGCTACCAGCTTGGGGAGGATTCCTGTTCGTTGTGCCAATTGTAGACGAATGTGTGTTCACTTCCGCCCTGGGGGAGGCTCGGCTTCCTCCGGAGCAGCTCCGCTGCTCGGCAAGGGCGCTTTACTCCACCTTTGCCCTCGCGGGCGCCTCCCCTGCGCACGCATACGGACCCACGAGGAGGTCTACCAGAACGCGATGCAGCAGTTGCGGGTGGTGGTCCATGAGGCCTACCTCTCCTCGGTTCAGAGGTCGGCCCTGGAGGGGCATGCTGGCGACGATGTCGCCGCGATGTCGTGCTGCTCCGCCAGCTTTGGAAGTGCAGGCTCACCTCGCGACTCTTTGGCGGTCTGCTGCGCGACGGTGATGTGCGCGCAGTCATGGGGATGCGCAGGCTGTGGCTGTCGGCGCCTAGGTACTCGGCAGCAACACAGCAGACCTTGCTGGCCCCTCCTTTCCGTCTGGGGAGGGCACCTCTTCCAGGGGCCCAGCAGGTCATACGGGAGGCTGCCGCTGCAGCTACCTCCTTCAAGGACTCTAAGGCCTTGTTGGAGCACCCGGGTGTCTCCGGCTTCCCAGCCTCGATGCCACCTTCCTCCGCCCGGGGTGCAGCCTACACCCGAGTCTGCCGGCTGGCTTCGCCGCTTGGTAGGGGTAGGCGGAGGAACAGGTCCGCCAAGGGTAGGGGCAAGGAGCAGTCCTCGACTAGCTCCCAGCCTTTTCAGCGGGAGGTCTGCCCCGACCTCCGTTAACCCATCAGGCTTGCCGCTCAAGCCGTGTGTCATGCCCAGTCAGCTCCGCTTACTGGGTCTACACACGCCAGCTTCCACCCCATATCCCAGTGGGAGGCCGCCTCTCTCTATTCCTGCGGAATGGGAGAAGGCTACCAACAACGCTTTGGGTGCTGGCCACGGTCAGCATAGGCCATCTCCCACTGTGGAAGCGGCGGGTCCGCCCGACTTCACCGCATATCGTCGCACTCGGTGCCGCCATGTCAAGCCAGGGCGACATATTGCGCCGACGGTTCAGGCTCTGCTGGACAAGTCCGCCAATCGAAGCGCATTCCACCGGAGAGGAACAAGGCGGGATTTTATTCCACGTACTTCCTCGTCCCCGGCGAAAGACGGGCGGGTTCCGTCCGATTCTCAACCTCAAGGGGTTGAATCGCGATGCTCGAGTACCATCCTTCAAGATGGAGACACTGCGCGCGGTGATCTCATCTGTTCAGGCCGGCGATTGGCTCACGTCAATCGACCTAAAGGATGCGATTCTGCATGTACCCATACATCCCTCGCTTCAAGCAGTACCTTCGGGTCCTCTTTTACGACGGGATGTAATACCAATTCAGGGTGCTCCCCTTCGGGCATATCGACTGCCCTGCGGGTGTTCACCAAGCTCATGTTAGTCCCAGCTACCCTAGCTCGCCGCGCAAGGAAGGCGCTGTTACCCTTACCTAGACGACTGGTTGATCGGAGCACTAACACAGCCAGCGGTCAAGATGCTACTCACACAGTGATAGACATTCTAACTTCGACTGGGGTGGATCATCAACCTCAAGAAATCCGACCTGGTACCCACCCAGGACTTGGTTTTCTTGGGCCGATTCCAAACGGTAACAAGGATCTCGCTTCCTTGTCGCCCGACCGGGTCACCAGAGTTCGGGAGATGGTATCTTCATTCCTCTCCCAGCCCCAGGCACCAGCACGGACTTGGCTCTGTCTACTGGGCCATATGGCGGCTTAATTTATCTCTGTAGTGTGGCGGCGCGGTTGAGGATGCGTCCCCATACAGCAAGCTTTGGCTCGGCTGTGGACTCACACGGAGGATCTGGAGCGCAGTCTCACAGTCCCCTCGAGTGGTTGACACCTCACCTTCAGTGGTGGACAAATGTCGGGAATCTCACCAGGGGTTCCCCTTGGAAATCCCGACGCCAGCTCTCACAGTTCAGACCCGATGCGTCCCCTCACGGGCTGGGGTGTTCTGGGCAGTCTGTCGGCTTCCGACTCTGGTCCGAAGCGCAGCCCACCTTCACATCAACGTGTTGGAACTGAGAGCTGTGCGGTTGGTATTTCGAAGCTTCAGAGAGCATGTCCGTGGCCAGGTAGTCCGTCTTCAGTTAGACAACCAGACGGCCATGTCGCACATCCTGAAGCAGGGAGGCACGGTGTCTAGCGCTCCTCGGGAAGCGTGGGACTTTCTCCTCTGGTGCGACCAGTACGATTGTCAGGTACTCCTGTTTATCTCCCCGGGCTGGAGAACGCGTCGCGAGCAGATGCGCCTCTCGCCGGATCCTGGCCCCGCGACGAGTGGATGCTTTCGACAGGCAGATATTCACAGTAATCTCCCAGTTGTAATGGTCGCTCGAGGTGGATCTGTTTGCGTCCGGGCGGGACGCATCAGACACCCGTGTTCTGCTCTCGGATACCGGACCCAGGGGCGTTGGCTGCCGACGCCTTCCTGCTGGATTGGACGGGCAAAGTGCTCTGGGCGTTCCGCCGTTACCACTCATTCCCGTGGTCCTTTCACAGCTGTCCACCCAGCCAGCTCGGCTACTTGTGCTACTGGCACCGCTTTGGCCGTCACAGAGCTGGTTTCCGGTAATTC